TACTCCCCTTGGCGGAGCTTGGGGGGGTGTTCTCCAGCTGGAGTTCCCTTGACTTTGTCTGGAAGGAGTGGAACCTCCACAGCCTGTCTGGCAATTTCCCCCTTGTCTGGCAGCTTCCGTGGGGTTTTTCTTATCTGGGATGTATCTGGAGAGCGAACTTGGGGAATGAGACCTGGAGCCAGGCATTCTGATGCCCTGTGCCTGTGCTGTCCACACTAGTAGAATTTGACAGTCCCAGAGGGTGTGGGCGGCTGTGGCTCAAGCAGCTTAGCTAGGGTCCGGCGACCCAAGGGTCTTCTCTCCAGTTTCTCTGTGGTCTGTTCTCTGTGATTTGGTTGGCTGGAGGCAGTCTGAGGGCATGCTGCTGGGGCTGAGCCATGGGTCCTAACAATCCCAGTTGCGGTCCTTGCAACACCAGACTAAGATGGGTCACTGGGCTCTGTTCTGTCCTACTCCAAATTTAGTAAGGGCTGTTCCCTTGGTAGATTGGGCCTGACGCATGAGGCTGTGGCACGATCCACTTTGTGCTGAATAGAAGGAAGCCCACGTTTCACTCGGTAGTGCTGAGGCTTTGAGGCTCGGGAAGGTGACGTGGGTTGAGCCAGGGTCCACCAGGGTTGCCCAGCCCCAGGGAACTGAGTGGTGCTGCCCACGTTGAGTTGGCCAAACTGCTCCGGAAGGTCCACTAATAACTGGCTGCGAAATGGCGGTGGGAATCCCCACTCCCAGCAACATCTGGGGTCTGCTGGTCCTGACGCCCTCCACTCATAGGTTGGGGTCTGGTCTGCTCTACTCATTCCTATTTGCTGGCTTGACAGCATCTCTCTGGCCAATGTCTCCTGGAGTAGTGCGGCTCCTGCAGCCTCACTCCATAGAGTGGGATCTGGCTGAGCAGCTTGCCCAGGTGCCAGCTCTTTGGGCCAGGCACCCAGTTGGTGCTCCACTTCCACAGCCATCTCTGCTTCCACCACTGCTTGGGCAGGGAAGTAGATGGTCTTGACATAAATCACCAAGCCAGCCCTTGTGGCTCCCTCCATGGCCGTCTTGTCTTCCTCCTTATTCCTTGAGTCTTCGTGCCGCCCAGTTTTGGGTCAATGTTCAGGGCTTAGGGCCCAGGACAGCACCCCAGAGTTCGGGGAGCTGGTTGAAGATTTAATGGGAGATTCGAGTTAATGTCAGGGTCCCAAGAAACACCCACAACGGAAGAAGACTCCGAGGCTAGGCATTTTTCAAAGTTCCATTTTATAGGAGATGACATATTGGCACATCTGGGAAAACCTGAAAGCTTCCAGGTTTTCCCCACCCAAAAGAAAGTCTAAGTCCCTGCCCCAGCACCCACATGTCCATCACATTGTCCAATCAATGCACCGTCCCAACTGGAGATGCTTCCCAGTCACACCCGTCCAAGTGCAGGGCAGGGTGGCCTTGACTCTCAGAGAAAGAAATGTTATTTTGACTATATACTTCCCGAGCTCCATATAATCCCCCCTCCCAGTTTCCCACAGCACTAAATGTGGCAGGCCTGAAGATCCAATGCCCAAGATGGTTTCCAGGCCTGATAGCTGTTTGAATTGGATGTCATTTGTTGGAAACATCACGGGGAGGAAATAATTGTTGTTGTATCCAGCTGGTGGATTACCCAGAAGGATGTGAAGGATCGAGGTGAGAAAAAAAAAACATTTTTGCTCTGGGACTCCCCTTCCTCTGGGACTGATGGAGAAGTTTGGGATTATGAGTGCACACACAAATGGATGGCTCTCTCCCAAATGAATCCCTTGGTGAGCCTGAGCTCTTACCAAGAAGCTCCCATGGGGAGCACAGACACTTCTTAAAAGACCCCTCACCATGGTTTGGAACCTGCAGGATGGTTGGGAGAAGGCTGAAAGAAATGTGGATCCTACAGATTTGGAATTAAGAAACTCGATGCATGATGAACTGTACTTTCTTAAGAAGATTGGGAAATGGACCTACTATATCTAGCTGGAAAACAATTTGGAAAATGGATCGACAAAGAGGTTTGGTTGTCTTATTCTTCTCAACTTAAATTTTAAAAAAAAGTTTTATTCATAAGAATCAAACAAAGATATTTCATCCCAGACAAATCAGGGACAATGATTCTGGTGATTTATGGTAAATAAGAAGCCATTCTAAACTTTATACAAATTAAACGGAATAGTAGATTGTTAACAAAGTGCTTTGATGTTTAACTTTGTTGTTGGTTCACCCGTTAATTACATTGCCTTTATAGATTGTAGATAGATGAATGTCAAATTGGTTGTAAATAGAAGTAGAATTTTATAAATTTTGAGCCTGCTTCAGAAGGGGAAATAAACTAATATTGCTCCAATACGTTTATGAATATTCTAGTTGGGTGATAATAAAAGTAAATCTGTTTTTGTCTTTTTTAATGTACATTTTTTCTTTTTATATATGTTTTTTTCTATCCTTGTTTTGCTTTTTTAAAAATGCTGTTTTTGGAGTTTCTACTGTATATTAATACTTTGAATAACAAGCATGTTCATGGCACTACTGTGGACCTATTTTCTAAATCGCCTCTAAATTCATAGAATCATAGCAACGTGGTTGGTTGTATCATGGTGACCAGAACTGGACACACTATTCTAGGTCTGCTGTCACCAGCACAGGGTAAAGCAACTCTTATCACTTCTTCTTGTCTTGACACTATGCCTTTGTCAATGCAGCCTAGGACTGCATTGGCTATTTTTGGCAGTGGCAGCACTATACAGCACAATACTGGCACAAATGGTACTTACTATATGGCCCGGGGATACTTGGCCTGTCGTTTTGGAGATTTCACAGAAGCAGCCACCATTTTCAGAGCACCCACAATTCCTTAACACAGTCTACAAAGTGTTAAGGCAGAAAAACAGAATACTTTGTCCTAGTGACAATGACCCAGAAGCAGCCACCATTTTGACACAGAGGCAGGCATGACAAAATGGCAGCGGCTTCCACAAGTTCACCACATGACCCAGGCATGAATCCCAAACACTTTCAAGATAAAGGCTGCTTCCATAACACAGTCATGAAGCCCACAGGAGAAGGGCGGCATATAAATTTAATTAAAAAAAAAAAAAAAAAAGTCCGGTTGCATCGGGGTTTCACAAGGCTTGGCATCAGACATGTTACATTTCTGTAGGAGTTCTAGAATTTTGTCCTTTTGCGTTAGCCGGAAGCCTTTATCTGTTTTTGTGATTTGTACCCCTAGGTACTTGTCCACCTTTCCTAATATCTTTAGTGAGAAATGTTTCCCCAACTCATCAGCAAAATCATTGCATTTATGTGTCTGATCACCAATGTATAGAATATCGTCCACATAAACAAGAACATACTCAATGGAATTACCTTTTTTCTTAATAAAGAAGCAGTTGTCTGCAAATGTGGCCGAGAACCCTATTGATCTCAGGATTTTGGCTAAACACTCGTACCACCTCGTTCCAGATTGTCTCAGTCCATATAGGCTCCTGTTTAGTAGCCATGTTTCTCCCTTTGTCGTATTCTTGCTGGGGGGGGGGGGCCTCTGACATAAATCTCCTTGTCGAGCTCCGCGTGCAAATATGCGGTTTGCACGTTGAATTGGTGTATCTCAAGGCCTAGGATGGATGTTATCACCAGTGCGCATTTAACACTCTCGGTCCTGACTGTGGGGAGTATGTTTCGGTGTAATCTTCTGGGTATTTCTGAGCGAACCCCTGTGCTACTAGCCTGGCCTTGTAGAGTACTTTGTTGCCCTCTAATGCCTTGACCTTGTAGACCCACCTGGTACCGATTGGGGTCTTGTCCTTTGGCACTTCGGTTGGGGTGTAAACATTTAGTTCCCTGAGACTACTCATCTCCCGCTCCATGGCTTGCTTCCACTTAGACCTTTCTTCCACTGGTAGCTTTAATACGTCCTCGTACGTGTTAGGGGTTAGGTAATTAGTGTGCATGGATAGGACATAGTCTTCTAGTTTCTTTGGTGTCTTACCCCTATTTGCCCTAATTGGTCTGTCAGATGGTGTTTCAGTGTCACGTAAGTACCTGGCCTCCTTCTCTGTGAGTGAGTCTAGTTTAATGTTTTGGTGGTTCTCCTTCCACTCCCTGATTTGTATTCCCCAGTTCTTGGGTTTGGCTTTTCCCTGTCCTCTTTCCCCTTCTGTGGTGTGCTCTACCTCCCCTTGGTTGTTGTTAGGTTGTTCTTTTTTGGGTAGTAACTCTTTAAGGTGTATTTTAGACCAGTTAGTGTTTTCATGGAAGACAGCCATTCGGGATACTATAAACTTATTGTGACTATCTATAAATCTAAACCCTTTGGTCCCTGGTTCATACCCCATAAACCTTAGCCTCCTTGATACTTTGTCTCCCTTGCGTCGAAACTGTCTGGGAATGTACACATCAGCTGTGACCCAGAATACTTGCAGGTGTGCTATCTGTGGCTTTCTCTTATACATTAGTTCGTATGGGGTCTTGTCTAGTACGCTGGACCACAGTCTATTTAAGGTGTAATTTGAGTAGATGAGGGCTTCTGACCAAAAATGTTGTCCTAGCCCTGCATCCTCTAATGCGCACCTCATCATGGTCTGCAAGGTGCCATTTTTTCATTCTACCATGCCGTTCTGGAAGGCGGAGAACGGCGAGGATATGAAGTGTAATATCCCACGTGCTTTTAGCCAGTGCATGAAATCCCTGGACAGATATTCAGACTCCCGGTCTGTCATTATTTGTTTGATTCTGGTGTTGTGTTGTGTCTCTACTCTTTTGTAAAATTCTTTGAATTTTTGGTACACCTCATTTTTATGTTTGAAGGTGTATACAAACCCATAACGACTGAAGTCGTCAACGATGGTCAGGAAGAACCTCTTCTTGTATTTAATGGACGGCCTTAGGGGCCCCACAAGGTCCATGTGTACTAGCTGAAAAATGGAATCAGTGGTGCGTACTGATTTTTTGGGTCTGGGTTTGGTCTTGAGCTTAGAACACTTGCACACAGAACACTGGAGGTAGTTCTCACAGTTTTTTAATTTTACACCTTCAGAACAATCAACCATTTTCTGTACAACTGGAAAACTAATGTGCCCCAGCTTCCTATGTAAAAGGTGTGCACAGTTATCATGGATGGGTTTCCCTATCGATGGTTTCCCCCTATCAGGTGACTCATGAACGATCGGGTCATCGGATGTGTGTTTGCGGCTGTCCCCCTCTACTTCTTCATTGTTGCCCTCTTTGTTCCCGCTGGCTGCAGTATCTAGCTTGACTCTGAGGTTGGCATTGACTCTGGGATGTGTGTCGCTGTCTGGGTGGAAGTATGGTAGGCCTCCCCTGACTAGGGTTCTCCCTATGCTCTTACCTTCCTTTGTTATATGTGCCTTCCCTTCTCTGAATGTAATTTCAACGTTGTTGTCTCTGCTCAGTTTTAATGTGGCGAGTATGTTATATGGTATTTCTGGTACGAGCAATACCCCCTCTATCACTCTTATCCCTGGTATGTACGTGTTCCCTTTTCCAGTTACCTGAACATTATTTTGGTTTGCCACTTTAATTATAAAACTTGCCTTGGTGAATGATGTGAGTGATCTCCTATCGTATGTTGTATGGTAGCCCCTGAATCTAGGAGCCACGTGCCCTCTCCCTTGTTTTGGCTAATGTCGTGTTCCTGGTCCCCAAGTCCATACAGTGATCCTGTCTGGCTTTCTCTGGAACTATCCCGATGTCTCCTTCTGTCTCTGGGGTTTGGGGAATCCCTACGTCTGTGCCTGTTGTCGGGTGAATACCTATCTGAGGGTCTTAGCTTATGGTCTGGCCTGTCCCTGTGGTAGAATCGGTCCCTATCTCTTGCATTTTTGGGGCAGTCCCTCTTATAGTGATTCCTGGAACCACACAGGAAACACTCAGTTACGCTGTGATTCCTGCTTTGGAACTCCACCCTTTTGACTGGTTTATATTCTCTGCGGCATGATGAGTGGTCCTTCCTTAAGTTGTCTTCGGCTATGAGTTTATTAGTCAGTGTCTCTAATGTAAGCTGTTCTATGTTGAGGCTATCCAACTGTGTAATGAAATTGTCCCAGCTGGAGTCCAGCAAATTAATAATAATGCTGATCATGCTCCCCTCAGTTATGACCTCCCCTCTCTGTATTAGTTCCGCCCTAGTAGTGTTTAATGTTAGTAAGTGTTCACTCATAGAGGTTCCTGGCCTAAGCCTGGCTGAGTGGAACTCCCTGGAAATTCTGTGGTAGTGGCTACGCTCTTACTGTAGAATAGGTTATTCATTCATTTTGTGTATCAGTTCAGAAACTGTTAGGTGATGGCTGATGCTGGGGTAAATACTAGGCGAAACGCTAGCAATTAACATGTAGTACGCCTTATGATGCATACAGTCTAAATCAAAAGTCCATGGTTTTTCAGGGGGGTCAGTAACCAGGAATAGCAAATTCTCCTTTAAAAGTATGACCTGGAGTTGCTGATTCCACTCCAAGAAATTAGTCCCATCTAATCTTAACTTTGGAAAGTCAGTTGGCAATGTCCCTGAATTATAAGTGGAATTACTTACAGGATGTCGCTGGCCATGGTTTTGTGCATAAGGGAACTTGCAGTATGGCAAAGGGATGCTTGGTGCGAGTCTGTACTGACTTGCTTCTATGGTCTTTTCTTTTCTCCTTGCAGGCGGGATCTGCGCATGCTCGGGATTCATTCTTGCCCAGGACTCGTCGGGGAAGGAACTTGGACCCGTAGCTCCTGGATGAAGGCCCCACTCGTCCGGATGGCCCCTCGGCTTGCTCTTGGGTGGCCTCGCGTGGTCGAAGATTCCTCTGGTGGTCGTCTGGATCACCGGGAAGACTCTCGGGTCGACGGGGAAGATCGGAAGGCCCGCGGAGCTCGCGTGGAGGTGCGGATGGCCCGGCCTAGCATGGAAGCTGCATCCGGGGATCGGGCCGGGTCCCACGTTCGCCGGTGACTCCAAGAGCCTCAGCTGTGACCGTCGCTCGGGTGAGTAGTCGTGGCATCCCTGGCATTCCGGCACGAGTCTTGGTGTGGGCCTTGGGAGGTCCCCGGTGGGTCGCGGTTGACACTGTGCCCATGTCACAGTGGTTGCCCTCTCTGGGTAGGCATCGGTGACTGCCTCTCGCGCGTCGGTGTTCCTTTTGGGCCCCTCCGGGAGGTCGGAATATGTGCCCGGTAACTTTATTTTTGTCCCAAAGGCCGCGGTTAGTAATCGTATGGCCTTGTCGATCTCGAGCTTGGTAGGCGAGCTCGTGGGTTTTGTGTCAGGGTCGCCCCAGTCATTGCAGTTGTTTTGGGCTGTTACTTTGGAGTAGGCCCCGATTCCCGCCATAGGATTTGAATCCTGGGAGTCTATTGGTCGTTGGTCGGCCATCTTGGGTGATGTCATCATCCAAGATGGCCACCGCGAAAATGGCATGAATTCGTTTTCGGCCTTTTCGGTGGTTCTCTGGCAGGGGCAATCGTCTCCTATTGTGTCGTCGGCTGCGTGGTCTGACTCGGCCTCATCTTCCTCACTCGCTGCTCTGCAATCGTCGACCAGGTTTCGGAGTTCCGTGATGAGGTCTGCTTTGGTTGGGGCCAAGTTGATCAGCCTTAGAAGTTTCCTCTTGAGGTCATTTTCTCTGTGTGCGTTTGCTTCGGATCCATTTTCCGTTTCGGGTCTTCCTTCGCTGGTTCGGGTTGGGCTGCCTGGGCTGGAAAACTGCTCGTTCGCCTCCAGCATCTCCCTCTGCATGGTTTCTGCCGACTGGGTCTGCTCTGCCATTTTCTTCGTGAATGCCCTGGTATTCACTCTGCTCGTTGTTTCTGTCGGCTTGGGTTTCCTTGGCATATCCTGGAGTATTTGGGCTATTCAACCATCCTCTGCTACCATTTTGTTAGGAGTGTTCGAGGATCAGGCCCAATAACTCCATCACACTCAGCAAGTGTTAAATCAATGAATCTTTAATTACAGCATGTCTTAATCTTACAGGTGGTCAGCTGGACCTGGACCTGGACCGCATGGCCGGACCTTAAGTACCTGTGGGGCAGAGCTAAGTAAGGAGGGGTCAAGGGTGAGGGTGGTCCTTGCGGGTTAGCCCTAGCAAGTCCTCCCTGCCCCCTGGCATGGGAGGTCAGGCATTGATATGTGACATCCGGTATATCACCAGGTTCAAATTCTGACAGAAACGTTTGCTACAAACAGGACATTCAAAGGGTTTCTCTCCTGTGTGAGTCCTCTGGTGTTTTACCAAGTTGCAATTCTGACTGAAATATACCTACAATCACGTTACTCAAAAGGTTTATCTCCTGTGTGAGTCCTCTGGTGTTTCACCAGGTAAGAATTTTCATTGAAACTTTTCCCACATTCTACACATGCAAAGGGTTTGTCTCTTGTGTGAATTTTCTTATGTCTTACCAAGTTGGAACTGTAACGGAAACCTTTCCCGCAAACAGGACATTCAAAGGGTTTCTCTCCTGTGTGAGTCTTCTGATGTTTCACCAGATATGAATTCTGACTGAAACTTTTCCCACAATCAGAACATTCAAAGAGTTTCTCTCCCGTGTGAGTCCTCTGATGGTTCAGTAGGTTAGAATTCTGACTGAAACTTTTCCCACAAACAGGACATTCAAAGGGTTTCTCCCCTGTGTGAGTCCTCTGGTGTTTAACCAAGCTGGAATTCTGACTGAAACTTTTCCCGCAAACAGGACATTCAAAAGGTTTTTCTCCTGTGTGAGTCCTCTGGTGTTTCACCAGGTTAGAATTCTCACTGAAACTTTTCCCGCAAACAGGACATTCAAAAGGTTTTTCTCCTGTGTGAGTCCTCTGGTGTTTCATCAGGTCAGAATTCTGACTGAAACTTTTCCCGCAAACAGGACATTCAAAGGGTTTTTCTCCTGTGTGAGTCTTCTGGTGTTTCAACAGTTCAGAATTCTGATTGAATTTTTTTCCGCAAACAGGACATTCAAAGAGTTTTTCTCCTGTGTGAGTCCTCTGGTGTTTCACCAGTTCAGAATTCTGACTGAATTTTTCCCCGCAAACAGGACATTCAAAGGGTTTTTCTCCTGTGTGAGTCCTCTGGTGTTTCACCAGGTCATAATTCTGTCTGAAACATTTCCCACAAAGAGGACATTTGAAGGGTTTTTCTCCTGTGTGAGTCCTCTGGTGTTTTGCCAGGTGAGAATTCTCACTGAAACATTTCCCACAAACAGGACATTCAAAGGGTTTTTCTCCTGTGTGAGTCCTCTGGTGTTTTGCCAGGTTAGAATTCTGACTGAAACTTTTCCCGCAAACAGGACATTCAAATGGTTTCTCTCCAGTGTGAGTCCTCTGGTGTTTCACCAGGTCATAATTTTGTCTGAAACATTTCCCACAAAGAGGACATTCGAAGGGTTTTTCTCCTGTGTGAGTCCTCTGATGGTTCACCCGGTTAGAATTGTGACTGAAACATTTCCCACAAACAGGACATTCAAATGGTTTCTCTCCAGTGTGAGTCCTCTGGTGTTTCACCAGATATGAATTCTGACTGAAACCTTTCCCGCAAACAGGACATTCTAAGGGTTTTTGTCCTGTGTGAGTCCTCGGGTATTTCGCCAGGTTAGAATTCTGACTGAAACTTTTCCCGGAAACAGGACATTCAAATGGTTTCTCTCCAGTGTGAGTCCTCTGGTGTTTCACCAGGTCAGAATTCTTACTGAAACCTTTAACACAAACAGGACATTCAAAGGGTTTCTCTCCTGTGTGAGTCCTCGGGTGTCTCACGAGGTGGGAATATCCAATGAAACGTTTCGCACAATCTGGACAGTCATATGGCTTCTCCCTGCTGTGAGTTCTCAGATGTATCACCAAGTTGCCATTTTCGCTAAGGGATTTACCACATTGGAAGCACTTGTAGGGCATCTCTCCTGTATGGGTTATTCCGTAAACCAAAAAGGAACTGTTCCGACAAAAGCTTTTGCCAGATTCAGATCATTTGTATGTGCTTTTCTCCAGAGTGGATTCGCCCTTGCGTAATCGCTTACACAAGTCTGCTTTTTCCATAATAGGCACACCTATGGAGCTTTTCCACCAATGATATTCTTGAGAAGGTAGAAAATGTGAGTGATCCCTTGTTTAGTGGTGCTTTGATTTAAGCCCTTTTCTTCCTCCTAGGGCAACACTTGTATTACCGTATGTGTCTATTCACTTGACCTTTTCCTCCCCACTGACTTCCACATATTTCCCTCTTTCTGAATGGAAATATAATCTCCCTTGACCTTTTTGTGTTGTGTCCTTGAGTTCCACATACTCTACTTTTTCCAGCTCAAAATCTCCTCCTGATTTTCTTTCCTTTGTCTTTCACCTACTGGAGAAGGAGAATTGTGTGGTTTTTTTGATGGAAATGGAGAATATTTTTATTTCTGCTTTGCTTTTCAATATTGCTTGTCATTCTCAGTTGTCCAGTGTGGTCTTCTGGCATCATCTTTGTCTGTAAGATTCAAATGAAAATGTAGCTTTTATTTTTTGTAAAAGGGCTGCAGAAGATTTGAAAAAAACTGTACATTACAATGAAAAAGCAAACATGCCACAATGCTAGAATAATCTCTTACATTAATTGTGATATTTGACTACTGAGTTCCAGTTCAAATATCCATTCAATCATTAAATTCACTTGTTGACTTAAGTCAATCACAAATTCTCAGCCCTTGAAAGAGTTATCATCAAATACAATTATGTGAAGAAGAAAGTACACCCTAAAACTCTTATGATTTTATGTATCATGACATAGAAATAATCTCATCCTAACAGTTTAAATATAGGTAAATATAACGTCAGATGAGCAACAACAGATGATATATTATACCCATGCCATTATTTTTTTTTTACAAAATCAATGCCAAAACAGAGACGTGAAAAACTAAAACCATTCTTACTTCTTCCATAGGTATGAAGAGGCGAAGTAGCAGCCAGTTCTTTTTCCCCCAATTTATTTTTTATTTTTTTATCAAAACATCAAATCAAATCAATGTGTGAACAGTGTGGCACCTGAGAGTCATACATTCTAATACAAATAAAGCTAATCAAGTTAATCATAATCCTTACATTCAATCCGCTTATATATTTCTAATAATAATGCATACTTATATTAATTTATAGTCTATCATTATTCAATTATTCCACATTTTCTCTTGTTATTACTTTCATTTTGTAATATAAGTCTATACTAATATTCCCCCTTTTCCTGTTTCTTTCACTTATTCTAGCTTTTGATCATATCACCCTTTAATAAAAAAAGCTTTTCTTGTCTAACTTCTAATCATGTCACCTTCTTAAAAGAGGAAAAAGGAAAAGGAGGCAGAAAGCGAGAAAAAAAAAGTAACTCATACAACAAAAAGAACATCTATCATCCCTCACCCGCTTCCATACTTTCTTTACTATGCTTTACAAGAATAATAGGACAGTAAATCAAACAATATAATAATAAAAAGAATATCACCTATCCATTGCCCCTTGCCCACCCCAAAATTTTAATTGCTATGCTATGCTTTTTTCCCCCCACTTACCTCCCAAATTCCTCTCTTAAATCTACTTCCTGAACGTTTAATCTAGGTATTCCTCCCACCTCTACCCACTTCCACTGCCTAGTTTTTTAACATTTCTACCCAAGCCCCTATCTTGCTTTCAGACCTCTCTTCCCACTCTGATATATTCTCCCCCTGGTTTAATTCATCAGCCATTATTATTTCCACAGTTGTCTCCTCTTTGTCTTTGTCTTCTTCTTCTCCATTCCTTCAGTTGACTCCTCCTTTTCCTGGGTGTCTTGGTCTGTGCTTATCATCCCTTGTATAATATTCTGCATTTTTCCCATAATCTCCTTAAATTCTTTCTCCATAATGTTTTATAAATTTTGAAACAGTAAATCCATCTCTTGTACAATTCCACCTTGTTTTATTTTGGGGAAAAAAATCAGTTTTTATCCAACAGTCCAAGAGGCTATTTATTCAATCTTTAAGTTACTAGTCCCAATTCTTTATATCCCGTTAACAATCAGTTCCATTTAAATAGTTCCAGGGGTTAAACTTGAGTCTTCGATAATCCAATAGTCATAGAGTGGCTAGAAGTAATTCAATAAAATTTTTCACATAACTTCATTTAGATATTTCCAGGTTTGTAAAAATAAACTTATTTCCTAACATGTAGTTTTCACTTTTGTCAGCAGGTGACACTCTCACCTTGGATTTCAGTATAATCATGTTTCCAGCATATTTGTTATACCAAAGTAATAACCACAGAAAAAGTTTTAAATGATTCCAGCATAAAAAATACCTTCCCAGTACCACACTTTCCCAGCTTAAAGGTTTAATTTTCTATATATTTCAAAGTTTTAAAGTTTATTATTTTCTTTGTAGTTTTTCCAAATCTCAACAGCTTTTTTGTAATTTCATGACCAAAACTTAAGGTGACCAGATTTTAACATTGGTAAAGAGGGACATTGTGGGTGTGGCTTATTTTGTGGGCGTGGCTAGCTGGTCATGTGACTGGGTGGGCGTGGCTAGCTGGTCATGTGACTGGGTGGGCGTGGCTAGCTGGTCATGTGACCAGGTGGCCATGGCTATGTGTATAGGGTAAGGTGAACAGATTTTAAAATTGGTAAGAAGGACAGCATTGTGGGCGTGACTTATTGTGTGGGCGTGGCTTGGAGGCCATGTGACTGGGTGGGCGTGGCTAGCTGGTCATGTGACCGGGTGGCCATGGCTATGTGTATAGGGACTACTCAGAGGGCTGAAAAGTCATTTCTGACAGGTCCTCACACTTTTGACTGGTCCTCACACTTATGACCATCCTCATATTTATGCCCATGCAGCATTCTTAACAACCATGTCACTCATTTCACAACTGCTTCTCTTCACCATGATGACAAGATAGGGCAAAAATGTAAAATGTGAGGACAGTCGTAAGTTCGAGGACTGGTCAAAAGTGTGAGGACCAGTCAAAAATAACTTTTTCAGTCCTCTGAGTAGTCCATATGCACAAAAGGACTAACCAGAGGGCTGAAAAAAGTCATTTCTGACAGGTCCTCGCACTTTTGACTGGTCCTCACACTTATGACCATCCTCACATTTATGCCATGCAGCATCCTTAACAACCATGTCACTCATTTCACAACTGCTTCTCTTCACCATGGTGATAAGATAGGGCAAAAAAAGTAAAATGTGAAGACAGTCGTAAGTTTGAGGACTGGTCAAAAGTGCGAGGACCAGTCAAAAATAACTTTTTCAGCCCTCTGAGTAGTCCATATGCATAAAAGGATACAGCAATAGAGAGGGATGAAGGAAGGGAAGGGAAATTAGAGTAGGAGTGAAGGTAAGAGGGGGAGGAAGAGAGGAGGAGAAGGAGAAAGGAAGAGGAAGTAGGGAGGAGAAGAAGAAGGGGAGAAAGAGAAAGTAAGAAGGAAAGAAAAGAGAGAGGTGGTAGGTTTGAGGAGAAAGATTGCTGTACAATAAAAAAGATGAAAGGGAAGAAAGCCAACCCCAAGCAAATATAAAGATATTAAGATAAAGAATGAATTGTTAAACTTTAAAGAATAAAAAAGAACAAATATGAATAAATAACAATAATTAGAAATACACATACAAACATACAATGTATTTTCTTTGAACAGAGTATTTGGCCGGTTCACAAATTTAAACAGTGTTTAGTCACTTCAATTAAATTTACAATTTCTATATTTCCTTTTTGCCATATTTATTCCTCATCTATTTTTTTAAAAAAAACCAATATTACCCTTCATCCTCATCTCTAATCTTAATCAAATTCAATTTTTCCCTTCTATTCTATATTATACCCCTTCCCATTGTCATCTATTTTTATATCCATCCTCACATTGTTTAATTATGTAATTATGTAATACAGTTGTTTAATACAAATTCAACATTTTAATATAAATCAATTAGTTATAAAACTATCTTTTTTGTATATTAATCAATATGAACATGAATATTCCAATTATTTCCATGCAATCCAATTTCTTACAAATCAATTAATTATATTTACCAATAATAATAAACCAAATAATTTCCCCCATATATTCCTCTGAACCACAACTTAACCATTTCTGCTTTCAACACAATATACAATTAATAGTATCTCAATTATTACAATTTCCTAGTTAAATACAGCTTTTTTTTCTTTTGTGTTTTAAAATCTTGAACTCTCCTCCTAAATTTCCCATTGTTTGCAGTTTTTCACCTACCTTTTTTGGGGAGGAAAAATAAAAATAAAAATAAATCTCTCTCTGCCTCATTTTCTCACGTTGCACCAAAGATCCTGGTTTCGGTTTCGTTTCTGCAGCTTAGCTAGGGGAAAAAAACACTGCTTCAGGAACTCTTTACACTGATTGCCTGTAGGGCGGCCCTTTGAAGCCCCGGGCAAGAGTTTAAACAGTTTTTTTTTCTTCTAGCCATCAGCTGGGGCTTAAGAGGCAGCGGGACTCAGGAGGCAGAATGAAAAATCGGGACTTTTTTGAAACACCGCGGGACGCGGGACAAATTGCTAAAAATCGGGACTGTCCCGCCAAAAGCGGGACGTCTGGTCACCTTACCAAAACTGGATGCAGTATTCCAGATATGGACTTACTAAGGCTTTATAACATGCTGCTGATACTTCATGTAATTTTGATTCTAGAGTCAAATGTGAGACCATGTGTTCAATAGCAGTTATACAGAGCACAACACTTATACAGAGAGAAATACAAATACAAATGTATATATATGGAGAAAATCCATGTGTTTCAAGTCTGAAAAATGTCCCAAAATGGTTCAAGTCAAACCTTCTGAGGTAATTTATAGATCTGGGGCTTTAATTGATGAAATGATGTCTAAAGCCTCAGCCAGATTTGAAGCACTAGTTTTGCTCATGGAAGTCCTCAGCTCCAAATAAGGGCAGAAAATACTGCCCAGAACCCCACTGATGACATCCCCATTCAAGTAGTTCTCCCTCATTGAACATAATTGGGCCTGCAATCATTGTCACTAAGAAGCCCAATCATGAAGCCTGATGTCACATGACAGTGCCAACTTACATCTCTTCCTCTGCAGTTGTTAAACTAATCCCTGTGGGTTGTTAAAGGCAATTTCACGTGACAGTGACTTGCAACTTCCTGCCCCACTGATTTTGCTTGACAGGATCTAGCTGGGAAGGTCACAAATGGGGATCCTGAGTGTGGGATGATTCAACCATCATAAATGTGCAGCAGTTGGCAGAATCCAAAGTGGTGTAAGTCCTTTTCCTGCACCTTCATAACCACAGGAACTGCTGATGTGTGGTCACTAAACAAGTGCTACAATGACCACAAATATGTGGACAAGCTGTATGTATCCTTTTACAGTGCCACTATAACTTTGAAGGCTCAGGAAACAAGTGGTGAGGATAACCTATACAACTGAACATCTCAAAAAGTCCTCAATAGCATTTCTTCTTTTTACACAGTGCTAGGTTAATCACAGTTAAACCTGGTTAATACATGGAGGGGGCACAAATAGGAAATACTGTGCTTGTTGGCTAGACATGGAAATAATAATATTATCCCGCCTGGACTACTGTAATGCTCTCTACATGGGGCTCCCCTTGAGGAGCACCCAGAGGCTCCAACTGGTCCAGAATGCGGCCGTGCGGGCGGTTATGGGAGCAACGTAACACCTCTCCTGCGCGAGCTGCACTGGCTCCTGGTGGTCTTCCGGGTGCGCTTCAAGGTCTTGGTTACCACCTTTACAGCGCTCCATGGCTTAGGACCTGGGTACTTACGAGACCGCCTTCTGCCACCAGTAGCCTCTCACCGGCCAATATGCTCCCATAGAGAGGGGCTCCTCAGGGTGCCGTCAGTCAAACAATGTTGACTGGCAGCCCCCAGGGGGAGAGCCTTCTCTGTGGAGGCATCTGCCATTTGGAACGAGCTCCCCCTGGAGACACTGAGGATCCCGGATTTACGCACTTTCCGCCGTGCCCTCAAGACCTTTTAATTTCAACAGGCTGGCCTGGCCTAACTTCCTTTTAAAATTGGTTTTAAAACATTAGGGGTGTTTTAAATTGTTTTGGGCCAAATTATTTAATGTGCTTTTACATTGTTTTTTAAATTTTGTATTATGTGTGTTTTTATCCTTTGGCTGTTCACCGCCCTGAGTCCTTCGGGAATAGGGCGGTATATAAATCCAATATAAAGTAAAAAAGTACAGTAAAAAAATCTCAAAAGAGAGCAGATGTAGATCAGTCCGATATTTTTGCCAAGAAAAAAGCAGGTCCATAACAGATTAACAGAGTTGGGAGGGACCTTGGAGGTCGCCTAGTCCAATCCCTGCTCAGTCAGGAGACTTTATATCATTCCTGATTAATTGCTGTCCCGTCTCCTCTTGAAATCCTTCAGTGATGAAGAACGCACAACTTTTGGAGGCAAGCTGTTAATTTTAACTTGAAGGAGACTTTTTAAAATCTTCCCACCAGCAGAAAATTGCGGCCACCAGCGTTAAAGCATGCAGCACCAGAGGACTCAAACTTCGGGGAGGGAAGGAACATGTAGCAGCAGCTGATATGCTTCAGCCTAGTTGCTTCTCTGCTTCCACATCTGGGAAGAAAGCAAACAGCCCTCCTTGCTCTCAGCTTCTCCTACGATCTGCCCTCCACTCACCTGCCAGATGTGTTTCGACCCTGGGAAGAGCAGAAAAACCACTCTGCACTCCACCTTCCTCCCATGAGTGAGCCGGAAGAAGTTACTCTCCCCCAATCCTTTCTAGCAATGCTGTACTCGATGGTTTTAACTCCTTTAAGCTCAACCATGTATGCCTATTAAGGGCTTTCTAGTCACTGATATGTGAGTGCCATCTCCCAATAGGGGATAAAAGAACACACTTGTATCTATTATCAGACACATTCTTGACTAAATACATAAATCACAAGAAGGAGCGTATGTTTTAAGTCAAAAGAAGAAAATAGAACAATTGTTAAAAATATATGGAAAGTTGTGGAAGTGTGCAAACTCCCATGATACCAGATTTTCAAACCATCAAAAATAGAACAATTTGTAATCCGGAACTGTATTAGGCAGTCATATGACCAGAAGCAAGTGTGTTGACATAAAACAATGTAATGTCAGAGAAGCAGTGAAAGAAAATGTAATAGACATAATTTATTTTCCACCAGAAAATAATTTAGCTGATCTCATGACAAAACCATTAAGTATACAAAAACAGAAAGATCTTGTGAAACAATTTGGTTTAAATACTGTTAGATTTAATAGCTGAAAGAGTAAAATTGTACAATGGGCAAGAATAGAGTAGTTGTTGAGTGCTGGCTCCTGCATGAGCCAATCTATGCTACAATTGGTTCCTGTAGGTGTAAAAAGGGAGTTTCCCATTTTTCCCGCTTTTTTTCTTCTGTGTGTTCTGTATGCTATTTGGATTTACCTCAGGATGTTTCTGTGTTCCTGACCATCTTGTTTGCTGTAAATATAAATGTTAAATATATTTATTTATACAGTATATAAAACTATATATTTGCCTCAGTGTCTCTGACTTCATTTGGAAACTTGCTGCGCAATTCCCTGTCAAAGGACTATCTCTATTACACCCAGAGGAAAAAAGTCATTTGCACTGGATGTCATTTGCTGGATTCATCACAGGGAGGAAATAATTGTTGTCGTATCCAGCTGGTCGATTACCCAGAAGGATGTAAAGGATTGTGGTGATCGGATTTTTGCTCTGAGAGATCCCCTTCCTCTGGGACTGAGGGAAGCATTTAGGATTATGAGCGTGCACAAATGGATGGCTCTCCCCCAAATGAATCCCTTTGTGAGCCTGAACTTTTCCCAAGAGGCTCCCACGGGCAGCACTGCCACTTCTTAAAAGCCCCCTCACTATGGTTTGGAACAGATGGGTTTTAGCAGGTTCTGACCAGTTCTGGAGAACCGGTAGCGGAAATTGTGAGTAGTTCAGAGAACTGGTAAGTACCACCTCTGACTGGCCCCACCCCCATCTATTCTCTGCCTCCTGAGTCCCAGCTGATCAGGAGGAAATGGACGTTGGTCGTACCTGATACGTACTTTCTCTGTTGAGAGGAAATGGCAGTCAGGCAGGGGAAGACGCTCCGTCTAATGCATGGGACCGAGTCTGCTATTCAAATTGGCTCCGCCCTCCTGGCCTTCTCCAGTTGTTCGGCGAGGACGAAATGCAGACTACCGGGATGTGTCTTCCTGAAATGATAGAGAATTAGCAAACCACCCGCCCCCGTGAATCTCCCGATCTGAGTAAGAAGGGTGGGGCTGACTGCCGTTTCCTCTCAACAGAGAAAGGATGTATCAGGTAAGACCAATGTCCATTCTCCTGAGAGGAGGGAAATGGCAGTCAGGCTGGGGACATACCAAAGCACCATGTCATCCAGGGAGGGACACTCCGGATCTGGCCGCCACTAAGAACGGTGAACCGCCTGCAGAACCCGGCAACTGAAGGATGCCTCAGCTGAGGCAAAGGAATCCAGCATATAGTTGCGAATGAAGGGTCTGATGCTGGTCCATGTGGCAGCCTTGCAGACTTCCTCCAGAGATGCCTGGGTCGACCAAGCCACGGAAGTGGCGGCGCTCCTGGTTGAGTGGGCCGTGATGTGGCCTGGCACAGGGATGCCCAAATGGCGGTAGGCCATGGTGATAGTGGCTCTGAGCCACCAACCCAAGGCAGGACCCGAAACCTGGGAACCAATATTTGCAGGCTGGAATGCCACGAAGAGAGCTTCCGTCTTGTGGATTGAAGCCGTCCTGGAGATGTAGACCTTCAGAGCCCGGCAGACGTCCAAGGTATGCCATGAGCGTTCGAGTTGATGTGAAGGACCCGAGCAGAAATTTGGGAGAAGAAACTCCTGAGAGCGGTGGAAGGTAGAGTTCACTTTCAGGATGAAGGTGGGGTCGAGGCAGAGAACTTGTGAAATACACAAAGGTCCCCCCAGATGGAAAGGGCCGCCAGCTCGGAAATACGTTGAGCTGACGTGATCGCCCCCAGAAACAGTACCTTGAAGGAAAGGAGACGAAGAGAAACCTCGCGAAGGGGCTCAAACGGAGAAGCCGTCAAGGCGTTGAGGACCTTGTTGAGGTTCCAGGTAGGAAAGCGGTGGACAACTGGAGGACGCAGGTTGGCAGCCCCTTGAAGAAAATTCCGGATAATAGGATGCCGAGAGAGTGATTCGGTGGAACCGAATGCCAGGACTGACGCTAGGGCTGCCACCTGTCGCTGAAGGGTATTAGGTGCTAGATCCGTCTTGAGACCGTCCTGGAGGAAGGATAACACGTGAGCGATGGTGACTGTCGTAGGAGAGAGAGAAGCTCTGGAGCACCAAGCGGAAAAGGAACGCCAAGTGGCCTCATATATACACATTGTGGAGGAACGGCGAGCAGCCTGGATGGTGGCAATGACGTCCGGAGGAAGGTTGGCAGCCATCAAGATGAGCCGCTCAACCGCCAGGCAGTCAAGCGAAGCCACGTTGGATCCGGATGATGAAGGGACCCCTGAGTCAGAGGCACCTTGGAATCTGGTAGGCGCCAAGGAGGAGCCACAGACAGGGACATTAAGTCCGCGAATCAAGGCCGCTGGGGCCAGTAAGGAGCCAGGAGGATCAGCTCTGCCCTGGCTTCTAGGAGCTTCCGGATCACTCTGGGAATCACCGGGATGGGCGGGAATGCCTTTAGCAGCCCTGCTGGCCACGGCTGCGGAGAGAGTTTCGGCCCTGGGCTCCGGATACCTGGAGAAGTATCGGGGAACCTGGTGGTTGGCCGATGAGGCGAAGAGATCCACCAGGGGAGTCCCGAACCTGGCTGATATTTCGAGGAAGAGATCTGGTGGAATGCTCCACTCCCTGTGATCCATGAGGTTCCGGCTGAGGGCGTCCGCTTGGATATTTGCTGACCCTGAAATGTGGTCCGCCTTGATGGAATTCAGGTGTTCCTCTGCCCACAGGCCTAGTTGAAGAGCCTCTGCCATGAGGGACCGGGAGCGAGTGCCCCCCAATCTGTTGATGTGGGCCTTGGCAGTGGTGTTGTCCATAAGGACCAAGACATCTTTGCCCGCTACTTGGTAGCGAAAGTGGCTGAGGGTGAGACGAACAGCCCTCAACTCTAGCAAGTTGATATTGAGGAGGCTCTCTCTCACGGACCACTGATCTTGCGCCATGAGATGAAGGAGATGGGCACCCCAACCCGTAAGGCTGGCGTCGGTGGTAAGCTGAACGTGATGCGGTTCCCTGTAGCAAGTGCCCTGAGAGATGGCATTGGAGGTCCACCATTGTAAGGATCGGAGGACTGGATCTGGCAGCTGCAGACGTGAGAGCGAATTGTCGCGTTGGGCCTTCTGGTATGGAAGCAGGAGCCACTGAAGTTCCCTGCTGTGTAAGCGAGACCACGGGGTAATCCCAAACATAGACACCATCTTGCCCAAAAGACGAGACAGCTCCAGTAACTGAACTGGAGGACATACATTTGAGTGCCAAGGACCTAAGACTATCCTGCCGGTCGGGGGATAGAGAAACACGAGACAACTCAGTATCGATGACTGCCACCAGGTGACGTATGCTGATGGAAGGGGTGAGGTGGCTTTTCGACCAATTGATAGAAAAACCGTGGTTCTGTAAGGTGGAGAGAACCATGGCAAGATCATCCTGTGCCTTAGAAAGGGACATAGAAAGAATGAGAATATCGTCCAAATAGAATTGGACCCGGATAGTCTGAGAACGAACGTGGCCAATAAGGGCAGCCATAATCTTCGTAAACACCCTAGGGGCCGAGGAGAGGCCAAAGGGAAGGGCCTTATACTGGTAGTGGTGACCAAGAAAACAAAAATGGAGAAATTGGCGGTGGGCGGGTAGAATGGGTACATGAAGGTAGGCCTCCGTCAGGTCTATGGAGAACAGGAAATCCCCAGGTCGTACAGATTCAAGGATTGAAAAGAGGGATTGCATCTTGAACCGGTGATAAATTATATACCGGTTCAAGGATTTGAGATCTAATATGGCTCTCCACCCGCCGGAGGACTTCTTTACGAGAAAAAGGCGGGAGTAGAACCCCTGACCCCGTTGTGACTGGGGAACCTACTGGATGGCCTCGATGAGAAGCAGGTGGGCAATAGCAGCGGAAAGCAAGTCCCGCTTGGACCTATCCTGTGAACCTGGACAGGGAAGAAACCTGGAAGGAGGGGGGGAAATAAATTCTAAGGAGAAACCCAAGGAAATGGTGCAGAGCACCCAGGAATCAGAAGTGGAGGACTCCCATTGCTTGGAAAAAAGAGCCAGTCAGCCCCCAATGGGAGGGGAGGAGGTACCTTTATCTGGTTCTACGGGTAAAACGGCCCCACCCCCTGCGGGAGGGACGCTTGGGAGGAAATCTAGCCCCCTGTCTGACCTGGGAGTCCTGCTGAGATCTGGATGGAAAGGAGCACTGAAAGCGAGATTGGAAGGATGATGAATCAGAGGAACGAAAGGACTGATATCAGGCTGACGTTGAATAACGGGAGTTGCCACGAAGAATCTTGTGTCTGTCCCTCATCTCAATGAGGAGAGGCTCCAAACACGGACCGAATAGGGTGCCCGCAGTGTATGGCGCAGAAGCAAGTTGCCATTTGCCTGCCAACTACGGAGCCACAAGAGGCGACGGGATGTTATGGTGGAACCGAGAGATTTCGCCGAAAACCTGGTCGCATTGAGAGTGGCGTCGGTTGAATACTCCAGGGCTGCTGAGATCTTATTCAGGTCCTGATGAGACTGGGCGTCGGACAAGTTAGGCAACTTCGAAGTTGCTTCAGCCAGAGAAGAGCAGCCCTGTTGAAGAACGAAGCCGAGGTGGATGTTTTGGATATGACCAGGGCGGGATTGGGGGTAACCCACCGGGGTTGGGACTGGGGCCGGCAGGGGGCTATGGCTTTGGGGGTGTGGGGTTGAGGGTCAGGGAGGGGGCTAGATTCCATACTGGTGAGGGCTGTTCCATCAGTACTGTGGGTGGGAGGGGCAGATATGGTGGGAGCAGGGGGCCATATCATGTTGTGGGAGTGCGCACTCGCTATCTTCGAGCGATTGCACGCTCCGGCCCCCAATGCTCTTCTCGTTCCCTGGGTTGCTCAGACTTTCAGGGCCTGGGCCTTCGGTTGATGTTGTGCAATGCCAGGTCCGTTGTAAATAAAGCCCCCCTCATCTGTGATCTGGTGCAGGAGGTGGGTGCGGACCTGGCGGGTATTACGGAGACCTGGTTGGGTCAAGAGGGGGGGGTTTCCCCTTGTTGAACTGTGCCTACCAGGTTTCTGTGCATTCCATCAGCCGAGGCCTCAGGGAAGGGGCGGGGTGGTGGTGGTTGTTATTAAGGAAGGTCTTTGTCCGAGGGAGGCCACTGTACCTCAGATAGCTGGATGTGAGTTCCTCCTTGTGAAGTGGGGTCGTGGGGTGCAGATGGGCCTGCTGATTGCGTACCTGGCTCCCTGCCACGTGGCAGTGGCCCTGCCCAAGCTGCTCAACATGATAGCCGGGGTGGCGGTTGATACCCCCAGACTTACGGTCATGGGGGATTTCAATCTGCCATCTGTCAGTGAAACATCTGAGGCAGCTCGGGAGTTCATGGCTTCCATGACAGCCATGGACCTGACCCAGTTAGTTCATGGCCCTGCCCACACGGGGGGACACACTCTGGACTTGTGTTTTGTCTCAGGTCAGTGGTTGAATGATCTAGAAATACGGGATATAATTATTGAACTCTTGTCATGATCAGATCACTCACTCCTTCGACTAGACTTTCATACCACCACACCTCGCCGCAGGGAGGCGGAACCGACAAGGTGGTTCCGCCCCAGGCGCCTGATGGATCTGGATAGGTTCCTGACGGAGCTTGGGCCATTCCCTGGGGCTCTGGCTCACGAATCAACTGAAGAACTGGTGGCCGCCTGGGATAGGGTGGCTGCTGGAGCTTTGGACCGCATCGTGCCTTTGTGGCCTCTGACCCGGTGCCGATCCCTGGTGGCTCCCTGGTTTTCCAAGGAGCTGAGGGAGATGAAGCGCCGGAAAAGATGCCTGGAGAGTGACTGGAGGGCCAGCCGCTCTGAATCTGACAGAACACTGGCGAGGTCTCATATTAAGATCTACCTAGTGGTGATAAGGGCGGCAAAATCAAACTAATTTTCCGCTCTTATTGCGTCTGCAGAGAACCGCCCAGCAGCCCTGTTTAGGGTGACCCGCTCCCTTCTCCATTTGGGAGCGAGGGAAGACCCCTTGCAGGGTAGGGCTGAGGATTTTGTGCAATTCCTGCATGATAAAGTCACTCAGATTCGGGAAGGCCTGGACTCCGATTGGGTAGATTCAGATGGGGTGATGGAGGTGGGTCTTGAGAGTGTTATCTGGGAGGAGTTTCATCTTGTGACTCCCGAGGACGTGGACAGGATTCTGGGGAGGCTTAGCTCTGCCACATGTTTATTGGACCCGTGTCCCTCCTAGTTGGTGCTGGCCTCCCGGGCGGTTACACGAGGCTGGCTCCAAGGGATTATTAATGCTTCTTTGAGTGAGGGTTTCTTCCCTCCCTTCCTGAAATAGGCAGTGGTGAGGCCCCTCCTCAAGAAGCCTTCCTTAGACCCGGCTGTACTAGTGAACTATTGTCCAGTCTCCAACCTTCGCTTTGTGGCAAAGGTTGTTGAGAGTGTGGTGGCGCGACAACTTCCCCAGTACCTGGATGAAGCTGTCTATCTAGATCCGTACCAGTCGGGTTTCAGACCAGGGTACAGCATGGAAATGTCATTGGTCATATTGGTTGATGATCTCTGGAGGGCTCGGTACAGGGGCTGTTCCTCTGTCCTGGTCCTATTAGACCTCTCAGCGGCTTTTGATACCATCGACCATGGTATCATGCTGCACCGATTGGAGGGGTTGGGAGTGGGGGGCACCATGTTGCGGTGGTTCTCCTCCTTCCTCTCTGACCGTATGCAGTTTGTGTTGGCAGGTGGACAGAGGTCGACCTCGAGGTGCTTTGTTTGTGGGGTGCCGCAAGGGTGAGGTATCATCAGTATGCTGATGATACCCAACTTTTTATATCCACCCCGAACCAGCCCAGTGATGCCCTCGATGTGATGTCCCGGTGCCTGGAAGCGGTACGGGTCTGGATGGGGAGGAACGGGCTTCGGCTCAACACTGCCAAGACCGAGTGGCTGTGGGTACCGGCATCTCGGTCCGATCAAGAGGTTCCATCTTTGGCTATAGGGGGCGAGGTGTTACCCCCTGTAGACAGGGCACGCAACTTGGGTGTCCTTCTGAACTCATGGTTGAGCTTAGAAGATCATATAACAACCGTGAACAGGGGGGCGTTTGCCCAGGTTCGCCTGGTGCGCCAGTTGCACCCCTATTTGGACCAGGATGCCCTACGAACAGTTACTCATGCGCTAGGCGCCTCCCGTATTGACTACTGCAATGCTCTCTACTTGGGGCTGCCCTTGAAGACCACTCGGAGGCTTCAGCTGGTGCAGAATGCGGTCGCACAGGTTGTGATGGGAGGATCCCGATACACCCATGTTACACCTCTCCTGTGCGACTTGCATTGGTTGCCGGTTGCCCTCCAGGTGAGATTCAAGGTGCTGGTGATGACCTATAAAGCCCGACATGGCTTAGGCCCAGGATATCTGTCGGACCATCTGCAACCAGCAACAGCTCCCCATCGCCCGGTGTGTTCTCACAGGGAGGGCCTACTCAGGGTGCCGTCGGCTAGACAATGTCGGCTGGCGACCCCCAGAGGTAGAGCTTTCTCTGTGGGTGCACCCACCCTTTGGAATCAACTCCCCCGGGGGCTCCGGTTGGCCCCTGACCTTCGCACTTTCCGCCGCGAACTAAAAACATGGCTATTTAAATTGCCCCAGCCTGGACTGATGGGGTTTTGATTTTTAATGTATTTTAATATGCATTTAATATGTATTTTAACATTTTTCTTATTTGGATTGAGATTGTATATCTTAATTGTTGTGAGCCGCCCTGAGTCCTATGGAGATAGGGCGGCATATAAATCTAATTAAAATAAAATAAATAAATAAATTTATTTATAAAAAACTACAAATTTGCCTTAACATCTCTGAGTTTATTTGGAAACCTGCTGCACAATTTCCTGACAGAGAACTATCACTATTACACCCAGAGAAAAAAGCCATTTGCACTGGATGTCATTTGCTGGAAATATCACAGGGAGGAAATAATCATTGTCATATCCAGCTGGTGGATTACCCAGAAGGATGTGAAGGATTGTGGTGAGAAAAAAAACATTTCTGCTCTGGGAGGTCGCCTTCCTCTGACACTGATGGAGGAGTTTGGGATTATGAGTGCACACAAATGAATCCCTTGGTGAGCCCGAGCTCTTCCAAAGAAGCTCCCATGGGGAGCACAGATATTTCTTAAAAGCCCCCTCACCACGGTTTGGAAACTGCAGGATGGTTGGGAGAAGGCTGAAGTGGTTGTGGATCCTACAGATTTGGAGTTAATAGACACGATACGTGATGAACTGGGCTTTCTTAAGAAGATTGGGAAATGGGCCTATTATTGTATATCTAACTGGAAAATGATTTGGAAAATGGATCGACCAAGAGGTTTTATGATTTGGGGGAATAAGACAACTGTTCTTTTATTGTTCTCAACTTAAATTTTAAGAAAAAGTTTTATTCATAAGAATCAAACAAAGATATTTCAGCCCGGACAAATCAGAGACAATGATTCTGGTGGTTTAGGATAAATAAGAAGCCATTCAACTTTATACAAATTAAACGGAATAGTAGATTGTTAACGAAGTGCTTTGATGTTTAACTTTGTTGTCGGTTCACCTGTTAATTACATTGCCTTTATAGATTGTAGATAGATGAATGTCAAATTGGTTGTAAATATAAGTAGAATTTTATAAATTTTGGGCCTGCTTTAGAAGGAGAGATAAACTAATGTTGCTCCAATATGGTTATGAATATTCTAGTGGGGGGATAATAAAAGTAAATCCGTTTTTGTCTATTTTAATGTACATTTTTTCTTTTTATATGTTTTTTCTTTTTTGGATGGTTCACTAGGTGGCTCAGTGTCTAAGACGCTGAGCTTGTCAATCAGAAAGGTCGTGGTATAGTTATATACCTAAAAAAAAGATTTAATTGTTAAATCAATTGAAGCAGATGATCAAGGAAGATTTATAGCAATTGAACTTTTAATAAAAGGAGAAAAAATACTTTTAATTGGAGTCTACGCACCGAACCAACAAGAAGAAAAATTTTATAAGCTTTTACATTCCAAGTTATTACAATGGGATTATGAATCATGTATTTTATTGGGTGATTGGAATGGAGTTTTGGACACTAAAAAAGATAAGAAGGGACTCTTGCAGAACATTTCAACACGTGCCAGATTGCCAAAATCGTTTTTTGAAATGATGGAGGATATGGAACTGAGATATTTGGTGAGAGAGAAACCCCGAAGAAAAAGACTTTACCTTTTTTTTCTGATAGACATCAATCTTTCTCAAGGATTGATTTTATACTAATTACAAATGATTTCTTTTCCAGAGTGAAGAAGACGAAGATCTGTCCAAGAGTTTTAACGGACCATAGTCCAGTCTGGATGGAATTAGAGTATGGAAGGGGATCTAAGAGGTCTTGGAGGTTAAATGAAAATCTGTTTAGATATGAGGAAAATGTAAAAGAATGTAAAAAATTTATGAAATAATTTTTTATTATAAATATGCACAAGGGTACATCTATGGAAATGGTTTGGGATGCAAGCAAAGCATATATGAGAGGCATTTTGATATATTTGAATAATAAATATAGATGCAAACAGGAAAAAAAAGGAAGGATTTAGAAGAGGAAATCAGAAAAAAAGAACAAGCTTTGATATTAAATCCAGCAGATAAGAAAATAAAAGAGGCAATTAATTTATTGCGAGGGCAATTTAATATGTTAATGGCTGATGTTGCAACTAATTTGTAATATGCTAAACATAATACTTTTTGTAATGCTAATAAACCAGGGAGGTGGTTAGCATATTTGTTAAGGAAAAAACAAAAGTCACAGACCATAGAGAAAATAGAATATAAAGGTAAAGAGGTTTATCAGCAAAATATGATTAAAAAAGCATTTTTAGAATTTTATACGAGGTTGTATGCTGGTGATAAAATTCAAGGTATAGACATAGATAGATATCTACAGAAAGAGAATATTCCTACAATTACAAAAGAGTAAAGGGAGGGTTTAAATCAACCAATAACCACTGAGGAAATTATGTCTGCAATTAAGCAGTTGAAAGTGGGTAAAGCTCCTGGGACGGATGGATTGACAGCTGCTTATTATAAACATTTGCAGTTAGAAATGGTGGGACCACTTAAAGAATTATTTAATAATATACAATCTGGAGGAGAAGTACCCCCATCTTGGAGGACAGCTTATATTTCTTTGATTCCAAATGAGGAGCAAGACCATACCCAGCCTAAAAATTATAGGCCCATATCACTCTTAAATACAGATTACAAGATTTTTGCCAAAATATTAGCAAATAGGTTAATGACAGTCATGCAACAAATGATTCATAATGATCAAACTGGTTTTATAAATGGTAGACAAATGAAGAATAATGTAAGGCAAGTTGTTAACCTATTGGAGTATTTGGGGAAGAACAACCAAATCCCTGCGGTGCTGATATTTCTTGATGCAGAGAAAGCATTTGATAGATTGAATTGGCAATTTTTATTGAAAATAATAGAAAAGATGCAGTTTGGGGAATATTTTACAAAATCCATTAAGGCAATATATCAGAAACAAATAGCATGAATAATAATTAATGGTAGCTTAACAGATACTTTTAATATAGAAAAAGGAACAAGACAGGGATGCCCTTTGTCTCCATTATTGTTCATTTTGACCTTGGAATTTTTGTTAAGTAAGATACGTGGGTCGGACAAAATAAGTGGAATTAAGATCAGGCAGTATGACTATAGATTACGAGCATTCGCAGACGACTTGGTTGTTACTTTAACCCAACCATTACAGTCGGTTGTAGGTGTAATGGATATAATTAATCAATATGGACAAGTATCTGGATTTAAAATAAATGCAGGGAAAACGAAGATAATAACTAAAAATATGACTATAAATCAAAAAGAAGAATTAGAAAGACTAACAGGATTTGAAATTGTAAAAAAAGTTAAGTATTTAGGGGTTTATATTATGACTTCAAATGCGAAATTATTTAACTATAATTATGATCCGTTGTGGCAAAAAATACAGAGAGAGATGGAAAATTGGAGAAAACTACAATTATTCTTGTTAGGAAGAATAGCAGCAGTAAAAATGAATGTTTTGCCTAAGTTTTTGTTTCTTTTTCAAATGATATCAATATTTTAAAAAGATGAGAATTTGAAGATATGGCAGAAGGGTATTAATGATTTTGTTTGGGCAGGGAAGAGACCGAGAATAAAACAAAAAATAATGCAGGATACACGTGAAAGAGGAGGTCTCAAAATGCCTAATTTAAGACTTTATTATGAGGCAGCTGTTCTATCAGCAACGAGTGATTGGATGAACTTAACAGAAGAAAGAATTTTGAATATTGAGGGGTATGACTTGGTTTATGGGTGGCATGCTTATTTATTATATGACAAGAAAGTGGACAAGACTTTTAAAAGTCATATATTAAGGAATGCTCTGTTGCGTGTCTGGAAAAAGTACAAGTATAAACTAAACGAGAAGTTACCATTGTGGGCAATACCCAGACACGCGATAGAGAATATAAGTGTAGCGCAAAGGCAGGATGTGATTACATATAAAGAGCTTCTTAACAAGGAAAGAGGTATACTACAATTAAAATCTTTGAATCAACTAAGAGAAGAAAGGACAATTCGAACATGGTTTCAATATGTACAGTTGCAAGCTAGATGGAGAGAAGATCAGAAAATTGGTTTTTTGCAAAATGAGGAGAATTTGGTAAAACAGATTAGAGATCAAAGTCTAAAGTATATAAAAAGGTTGTATAATGCGTTGCTAGAAATAGATTCAGAAACGGAATTAGTTAAGGACTGTATGATAAAGAGGGCACAAAATATTGAAGAACCAATAATGATGGAAACATGGGAAAAAATATGGGTTAGAAATGTGAAGTTCACGCAAGCTCAAAACCTAAGAGAGAATTTTTATAAAATGTTTTATAGATGGCATCTGGATCCTAAAAAGTTAGCTTGTATGTATCCAAGTGTGCAACCTAAGTGTTGGAGATGCAAATGTGATGATGCCTCGTATTATCATATATGGTGGACATGTAAAAAAATTAAGGCATTTTGGATAAAAATATGGTGGATTATCCAAAATATTCTCAAAAAGAAGATAAAATTTACTCCACAGTTTTTTTTGTTAGGCATAATTACAGATTGTACTGTTATAGAGACTAAGTTGATTTTAAATTTAATAACAGCAGCCAGACTCTTGGTGGCACAGTACTGGAAGAAGGAAGATTTGCCTACTATTGAAGAATAGACACTAAAAGTAGTGAATTTAGAAGAGATAGCTAAAATTTCAGCGTATTTGAAGGACCATTCAAATGAAATGAAATTGGAATGGAGAAGATGGATTGACTATATTCAAAACAAATATCGGACTAAAAAGTTTCAAATAGCTTATGAATGAAATCTATATTTCCTTTTTGAATATGTTTAGTTAGTTGAAAAGGGGAGTTAAAGAGCAAGGGGGAGTTTGGAGACCACAGAAAGTTAGCTTATTTTAGCTTACGTTTATTATGCTGTACCCTGTTTTTGCTCTGGGAAGTCCAGGGGGTGGGTGTCGGGGGGGAGGGGGGTTGGAGGGAGAGGGGGGATGGAGGGGTGGGAGGGGGGAAATTGTTGTAATGATTGTTAAAACTTTTTAAATTAAAAAAAAAAAAAGGTCGGTGGTTCGAATCCCCAGTATAGGTCTTCTGTGTGAGCAGGGGTTGGACTAGATGACCTCCAAGATCCCTTCCAACTCTCTTACTGTTACTTCTATCCTTGTTTTGCTTTTTTAAAAATTCTTTCTGTTTTTGGAGTTTCTATTGTATATTAATATTTTGAATAACCTTTCTAAAAAAGTCCACAAGCACGTTTATGATACTACTGTGGACCTATTTTCTAAATTGCCTCTAAATTCATAGAATCATAGCAACATGGAGTTGGTTGTATCATGGTGACCAGAACTGGACATACTATTCTAGGTCTGCTGTCACCAGCACAGGGTAAAGCAACTCTTATCACTTCTTCTTGTCTTGACACTATGCCTTTGTCGATGCAGCCTAGGACTGCATTGGCTATTTTTGGCAGTGGCAGCACTATACAGCACAATACTGGCACAAATGGCACTTACTATATGACCCGGGGATACTTGGCCTGCCCTTTTGGAGATTTCCCAGAGGCAGCCACCATTTTCAGAGCACCCACAATTCCTTGACACAGTCTACAAAGTGTTAAGGTAGAAAAACAGAATACTTTGTCCTAGTGACAATGACCCAGAAGCAGCCACCATTTTGACACAGAGGCAGGCATGACAAAATGGCAGCGGTTTCCACAAGTCCACCACATGTCCCAGGCATGAATCCCAAGCACTTTCAAGATAAAGGCTGCTTCCATAACACAGTCATGAAGCCCACAAATGTGTGTCTTGCCTTCCTTCACCAACATGAGGTTCAGAGATCTTAAAAAGGTATGGAGAAGGAGGAGTTGTGATGCCCGGTGAGTTGGGAGTCAGGCCTAACAATTGCAGGGACCCAGTGGGAATAGGAAAATGCCTGTGGGGACCCAAAAGATGGGGTAGTGGAGGCTAGGCCTCCAAGAGATTCACACAATCCTGAGGTAATCACTGTTCTGTTTAACAACTTGAACATTTGTTTAACAGCTTCATCAGGGCGAGAAGGGGATGGGGATAGGTAGTTAAGCAAAGTAATCTTACTTCACAACCACTGCAACATGCAACCGTAACTGGCAGGCCCCGTTACAGTTGTATCTAGAGGACTACTTCTATGGTGGCTGGGGAATTCTGGGGCTCAAAATATGGAGGACAGCAAGATAGAAGAGGCAAATTCCACGTGTGGGAACTCCATAATCAATATACAAAAAACACCATCCAAAAGCCTTTTTGAGGAATTCCTCTACTTCTGCAAAAATGAAATTGCTGCTGATAAGGAGAAACTGGTAATTAGCCCTTTTCCATTTTCCTTTTCTCTCCACCTACAAGTCTATGTTTTCACCTACATTCCTAATGAGAAGTGAAATTCAAGCCTTCTCTAAACTCATCAACTTTTTCCTTATGTGGATTTCCATGTGGGCAATAAGGAACAATTTATACCAGAAGCATCATCCACAGACAGATTTGTCTCCTCTGTGAGTCCTCCAGTATATCACCAGGTTCAAATTCTGACAGAAACCTTTGCCACAAACAGAACATTCAAACGGTTTCTCTCCTGTGTGAGTCCTCTGGTGTTTTACCAAGTTGCAATTCTGACTGAAATATACCTACAATCAGGTTACTCAAAAGGTTCTCCTCCTGTGTGAGTCCTCTGGTGTTTCAACGGGTCAGAATTTTCATTGAAACTTTTCCCACATTCTACACATGCAAAGGGTTTGTCTCTTGTGTGAATTCTCTTATGTCTTACCAAGTTGGAACTGTAACTGAAACTTTTCCCACAATCAGGACATTCAAAAGGTTTCTCTCCTGTGTGAGTCCTCTGATGGTTCACCAGGCTGTAATTGTGACTGAAACTTTTCCCGCAAACAGGACATTCAAAGGGTTTCTCTGCTATATGAATACTCTGATGATTTAGCAGACTGGAATTCCGACTGAAACTTTTCCCACAATCAGAACATTCAAAGGGTTTCTCTCCTGTGTGAGTCCTCTGATGGTTCACCAGGCTGTAATTGTGACTGAAACTTTTCCCGCAAACAGGACATTCAAAGGGTTTCTCTCCTGTGTGAGTCTTCTGATGATTCACCAGATATGAATTCCGACTGAAACTTTTCCCACAATCAGAACATTCAAAGGGTTTCTCCCCTGTGTGAGTGGTCTGATGGTTCACCAGGTCAGAATTCTGACTGAAATGTTTCTCAAAAAGAAGACATTCAAAGGGTTTTTCTCCTGTGTGAGTCTTCTGATGATTCACCAGATAGGAATTCCGACTGAATCTTTTCCCACAATCAGAACATTCAAAGAGTTTCTCTCCTGTGTGAGTCCTCTGATGGTTCACCAGGTTAGAATTCTGACTGAAACTTTTCCCACAAACAGGACATTCAAAGGGTTTTTCTCCTGTGTGAGTCCTCTGGTGTTTCGCCAGGTCAGAATTCTGACTGAAACTTTTCCTGCAAACAGGACATTCAAAGGGTTTTTCTCCTGTGTGAGTCCTCTGGTGTTTTGCCAGGTGAGAATTCTCACTGAAACATTTCCCACAAACAGGACATTCAAATGGTTTCTCTCCAGTGTGAGTCCTCTGGTGTTTCACCAGGTCGTAATTCTGTCTGAAACATTTCCCACAAAGAGGACATTCGAAGGGTTTTTCTCCTGTGTGAGTCCTCTGATGGTTCACCCGATTAGAATTCTGACTGAAACGTTTCCCACAAACAGGACATTCAAATGGTTTCTCTCCAGTGTGAGTCCTCTGGTGTTTCACCAGGACAGAATTCTTACTGAAACCTTTCCCACAAACAGGACATTCAAAGGGTTTCTCTCCTGTGTGAGTCCTCAGGTGTCTCACAAGGTGGGAATATCCAATGAAACGTTTTGCACAATCTGGACAGTCATATGGCTTCTCCCCGCTGTGAGTTCTTAGATGTATCACCAAGTTGCCATTTTCGCTAAAGGATTTACCACATTGGAAGCACTTGTAGGGCATCTCTCCTGTGTGGGTTCTTCCGTAAACCAAAAAGAATCTGTTCCAACAAAAGCTTTTGCCACATTCAGATAATTTGTTTGTGCTTTTCTCCAGAGTGGATTCTTCCTTGCGTAATTGCTTACGATTTGAAGTCTGCTTTTTCCATAATAGCACACCTATGGAGCTTTTCCACCACTGATATTCTTGAGAAGGTAGAAAATAGGTGTGATCCCTTGTTTAGTGATGCTTTAAGTCCTTGTCTTCCTCCTAGGGCAACATTTGTATTACCGTCTGCCCTATGTGCCTATCCAATTGACCTTTTCCTCCCCACTGACTTCCACATATTTCCCTCTTTCTGAATGGAAATATAATCTCCCTTGACCTTTTTGTGTATTGTGTCCCTGAGTTCCACATACTCTACTTTTTCCAGCTCAAAATCTCCTCCTGATTTTCTTTCCTTTGTCTTTCACCTACTGGGGAAGGAGAATTGTGTGTTTTTTTTGATGGAAATGGAGAATATTTTTATTTCTGCTTCAATCTGCTTTGCTTTTCAATATTGCTTGTCATTCTCAGTTGTCCAGTGTGGTCTTCTGGCATCATCTTTGTCTGTAAGATTCAAATGAAAATGTAGCTTTTATTTTTTGGAAAAGGGCTGCAGAAGATTTGAAAAAAACTGTACATTACAATGAAAAAGCAAACATGCCACAATGCTAGAATAATCTCTTACATTAATTGTGATATTTGACTAGTGAGTTCCAGTTCAAATATCCATTCAATCATTAAATTCACTTGTTGACTTAAGTCAATCACAAATTCTCAGCCCTTGAAAGAGTTATCATCAAATACAATTATGTGAAGAAGAAAGTACACCCTAAAACTCTTATGATTTTATGTATCACGACATAGTAGAAATAATCTCATCCTAGCAGTTTAAATATAGGTAAATATAATGTCAGATGAGCAACAACAGATGATATATTATACCCATGCCATCATTTTTTTTACAAAATCAAAGCCAAAACAGAGACGTGAAAAACTAAAACCATTCTTACTTCTTCCATAGGTATGAAGTGGTGAAGTAGCAGCCAGTTCTTTTTCCCCCAATTTATTTTTTATTTTTTTATCAAAACATCAAATCAATGCGTGATTGTGTGGCACCTGAGAGTCATACATTCTAATACAAATAAAGCTAATCAAGTTAATCATAATCCTTACATTCAATCCGCTTATATATTTCTAATAATGCATACTTATATTAATTTATAGTCTATCATTATTCAATTATTCCACATTTTCTCTTGTTATTACTTTCATTTTGTAATATAATTCTATACTAATATTCCCCCTTTTCTTGTTTCTATCACTTATTCTAGTTTTTGATCATATCACCCTTTAATAAAAAAAGCTTTTCCTTTCTTTCTTGTCTAACTTCTAATCATGTCACCTTCTTAAAAGAGGAAAAAGGAAAAGGACGCAGAAAGCGAGAAAAAAAAAGTAACTCATAACAACAAAAAGAGCATCTATCTATCATCCCTTGCCCGCTTCCATACTTTCTATACTATGCTTTACAAGAATAATAGGACAGTATTTTTTTTTTTTTTTGCTTTAATTTATATGCCGCTCTTCTCCTGAGACTCAGGGCGGCTTACAATGCGTTAAGCAATAGCCTTCATACTTTTGTATATTTATACAAAGTCAGCTTATTGCCTCCACAATTTGGGTCCTCATTTTACCTACCTTTGAAAGGATGGAAGGCTGAGTCAACCTTGAGCCTGGTGAGATTTGAACTTGCAGTAATTGCAAGCAGCAGATGTTAATAACAGTGCTTTAGTCCACTGTACTACAGGCTCCTCCTGTAGAGCCTGTAGTATTAAATCAAATAATATAATAATAAAAAGAATATCACCTATCCATTGCCCCTTGCCCACCTCAAAATTTTAATTGCTATGCTTTTTTTTCCCCACTTACCTCCCAAATTCCTCTCTTAAATCTATTTCCTGAATGTTTAAGTATTCCTCCCACTTCTACCCACTTCCACTGCCTAGTTTCTAACATTTTTCTACCCAAGCCCCTATCTTGCTTTCAGACTTCTCTTCCCACTCTGATATACAGTATTCTCCCCCTGGTTTAATTCATCAGACATTATTATTTCCACAGTTGTTTCCTCTTTGTCTTCCTTCTTCTCCATTCCTTCAGTTGACTCCTCCTTTTCCTGGATATGTTGGTCTGTGCTTATCATCCCTTGTATAATATTCTGCATTTTTCCCATAGTCTCCCTTAAATTCTTTCTCCATAATGGTTTATAAATTTTGAAACAGTAAATCCATCTTTTGTACAATTCCACCCATCTCTCCTTTATTAGGTACCTTGTTTTGTTATGGAAAAAAAAATCAGTTTTTATCCAACAGTCCAAGAGGCTATTTATTCAATCTTTAAGTTACTAGTCCCAATTCTTTATATCCCATTAACAATCAGTTCCATTTAAATAGTTCAAGGGGTTAAACTTGAGTCTTCGATAATCCAATAGTCATAGAGTGGCTAGAAGTAATTCAATAAAATTTTTCACATAACTTCATTTAGATATTTCCAGGTTTGTAAAAATAAACTTATTTCCTAATATGTAGGTTTCTCTTTCGTCAGCAGGTGACACTCTCACCTTGGATTTCAGTATAATCACGTTTCCAGCGTATTTGTTATATCAAAGTAATAACCATAGAAAAAGTTTTAAATGATTCCAGCATAAAAAATACCTTCCCAGTATCACACCTTCCCATCTTAAAGGTTTAATTTTCTATATATTTCAAAGTTTCCAAGTTTATTATTTTCTTCTTTGTAGTTTTTCCAAATCTCAACAGCTTTTTTGTAATTTGATGACCAAAACTAGACGCAGTATTCCAGATATGGACTTACTAAGGCTTTATAACATGCTGCTGATTCTTCATGTAATTTTGATTCTAGAGTCAAATGTGAGAACATCTGTCCAATAGCAGTTATACAGACTACAATACTTATACAGAGAGAAATACAAATACAAATGTATATATATGGAGAAAATCCATGTGTTTCAAGTCTGAAAAATGTCCAAAAATGGTTCAAGTCAAACCTGAGGTAATTTATAGATCTGGGGCTTTAATTGATGAAATGATGTCTAAAACCTCAGCCAGATTTGAAGCACTAGTTTCGCTCATGGAAGTCCTCAGCTCCAAATAAGGGCAGAAAATACTGCCCAGAACCCCTCTGATGACATCCCCATTCAAGTAGTTCTCCCTCACTGAACATAATTGGGACTGGCATCATTGTCACTAAGAAGCCCAATCATGAAGCCTGATGTCACATGACAGTGCCAACTTACATCTCTTCCTCTGCAGTTGTTAAACTAATCCCTGTGGGTTGTTAAAGGCAATTTCACATGACTGTGACTTGCAACTGATTGTTGTGGCTCCGTCCTCCGAGCCTATCTTATCGGACGAAGAAGGCTCCGAAAATGAAGGAGAGGAGACGGCCAGGCCTCCCTCTCCAGGACCCTCCTCTCTGGCAATGCCTCTGGAGGACACCGAAGGCCAAACGATAGGCTCAGAGCCAAGCACGTCCCCGCAGCCACAGGTGGACAGCAACAAGGAAAATAAGTGCTGGCTGGACCCTCGCCAGAGGCGCAGGGAGAAGCGTGCGCAGCAGAGGGGAAGGTGTGCCAGAGATTAGCTGAGTCACTGGACCACACCCCACAGGCTATAAAAGGGTGTGTGGTGGCCATTCCGACTCTGTGATGGACAAAGCTAATCTCTGGCGAAGCACTTTGCACCTTCGGACACAACACCTATTTTGCTGTAGATTTAATTACGAACTGTGTGTATTTTTGTCTGTGTTATCGGAGTAAAAGCCCTTGGCAGGCAGCCACGGAGTTGCTGCCAAGTTCCTTATCACTGACGTTGTGTGTTTGAAAAGTTTATTTAACCCTCGGCTGGCTGGTTGAGTGTGTGCTTGGTACGGGGACAGAACACTGATTTTGCTTGAGAGGATCTAGCTGGGAAGGTCACAAATGGGGATCCTGAGTATGGGATGATTCAACCATCATAAATGTGCAGCGGTTGGCAGAACCCAAATTGGTATAAGTCCTTTTTCTGCACCTTCATAACCACAGGAACTGCTGACGTGTGGTCACTAAACAAGTGTTACAATGACCACAAATATGTGGACAAGCTGTATGTATCCTTTTACAGTGCCATTATAACTTTGAAGGCTCAGGAAACAAGTGGTAAGTGAGGATTACCTATACAACTGAACATCTCGAAAAGTCCTCAATAGCATTTTCTTTTTTTTTACAAAGTGCTAGGTTAAGCACAGTTGAACCTGGTTAATACATGAAGGGGGCACAAATAGGAAATACTGTGCTTGTTGGCTAGACATGGAAATAATTTTCAAAAAATCTCAGAAGAGAGCAGATGAAGATCAGTCCGATATTGTTGCCAAGAAAACAGCAGGTCCATAACAGAATAACAGAGTTGGAAGGGACCTTGGAGGTCGTCTAGTCCAATCCCTGCTCAGTCAGGAGACTTTATATTGTTCCTGATTAATTGCTGTCCTGTCTCCTCTTTAAATCCTTCAGTGTTGAAGAACTCACAACTTTTGAAGGCAAGCTGTTAATTTTAACTTGAAGGAGACTTTTTAAAATCTTCCCACCAGCAGAAAATTGCGGCCACGAGTGTTAAAGCATGCAGCACCAGAGGACTCAAACTTTGGGGAGGGTAGGAACATGTAGCAGCAGCTGATATGCTTCAGCCTAGTTGCTTCTCTGCTTCCACATCAGGGAAGAAAGCAAACAGCCCTACTTGCTCCCAGCTTCTCCTACGATCTGCCCTCCACTCACCTGCCAGATGTGTTTTGATTCTGGGAAGAGCAGAAAAACCACTCTACACTCCACCTTCCTCCCATAAGTGAGCCGGAAGAAGTTACTCTCCTCTCATCCTTTCAAGGAATGCTGTACTCGATGGTTTTAACTCCTTTAAACTCAAGTACGTATGCCTATTAAGGGCTTTCTAATCACTGATATGTGAGTGCCATCTCCCGATAGGGGGCAGAAGAACACACTTGTATCTGTTATCAAATACATGCTTGATGAAATACAAACATACATACACATACATACATACATAAAAGAAGGAGCGTAAGTTCTAAGTCAAAAGAAGAAAACAAAACAATTGTTAAAAATATATGGAAAGTTGTGAAAGTGTGCAAACTCCCACGATACCAGATTTTCAAACCATCAAAAACAGAACAATTTGTAATCCAGAACTGTATCAGGCAATCATATGAGCAGAAGCAAGTGTGTTGACATAAAACTATGTAAGGTCAGAGAAGCAGTGAAAGAAAATGTAATAGACATAATTTATTGTCCACCAGAAAATAATTTAGCTGACCTCATGACAAAAATATTAAGTATACAAAAACAGAAAGATCTTGTGAAACAATTTGGATTAAATGCTGTCCAGCTATAAATTGGAGGGGTCTTAGGATATTAAATTTAATAGCTGAAACAGTAAAATTGTACAATGGGCAAGAACAGAGCAGTTGTAAATTGAGTGCTGGCTCCTGCATGAGGCAATCTATGCTACGATTGGTTGCTGTAGATGCAAAGGAGAAGTTTCCCATTTCCCCCGCTGTTTTTCTTCTGTGTGCTCTGTATGCTATTTGGATTTACCTCAGGATGTTTCTGTGTTCCTGACCATCTTGTTTGCTGTAAATATAAAATAAAACTACAAATTTGCCTCAGTGCCTCTGATTTCATTTGGAAATTTGCTGCATAATTCCGACACAGGACTTACTTCTATTACACCCGGAGAAAAAAGCCATTTGCACTGGATGTCATTTGCTGGAAGCATCACAGGGAAGGAAATAACTGTTCTTATTTGTAGTTGGTGGATTACCCAGAAGGATGTGAAAGATTGTGGTGAGAAAAAAACATTTCTGCTCTGGGAGAGCCCCTTCCTCTGACACTGATGGAGGCATTTGGGATTATGAGCACACACAAATGAATCCCTTGGTATGCCTGAGCTCTTCCAAAGAAGCCCCAATGGGCAGCACTGCCACTTCTTAAAAGTCCCCTCACTATGGCTTGGAACAGAGGTGGGTTTCAGCAGGTTCTGACCAGTTCTGGGGAACCAGCAGCGGAAATTTTGAGTAGTTCAGAGAACTGGTAAATACCACCTCTGACTGGCCCCGCCCCCATCTATTCTCTGCCTCCTGAGTCCCAGCTGATCGGGAGGAAATGGGGATTTTGCAGTAACCTTCCCCTGCCACGCCCACCAAGCCACACCCACCAAGCCATGCCACGCCTACCAAGTCACACCCACAGAACCAGTAGTAAAAAATTTGGAAATCCACCACTGGTTTGGAAACTGCAGGATGGTTGGGAGAAGGCTAAAGCGGAAGTGGAGACTACAGATTAAGAGACTTGATGCGTGATGAACTGGACTTTCTTAAGAAGAATGGGAAATGGACCTACTATATCTAACTGGAAAACAATTTGGAAACTAATATTGCTCCAATATATTTATGAATATTCCCGGGGGGGTTAATATAGGTAAATATGTTTTTGTCTTTCTTTAATTCAATTTTTTTCTTTTAATTGTTTTGTCTATCCTTGTTTTGCTTTTGAAAAAAGTCTTTTTTGGCGTTTGTACTATATATTAATTTTCTGAAGAAAATAACCTTTTTTTAAAAAAAAAAGTCCCTTCACCACAAGCACATTAACGGGGCTACTATATACCTATTTTCTTAACTGCCTCTAAATTCAAAGAATCATAGCATCATGGAGCTGGTTGTATTGTGGTGAACAGTATTCTAGGTGTACAGTCACCAGCACAGTGTAAAGCAAGTTTATCATTTCTTGTCTTGACACCATGCCTCTTTTGATTAATTGGCTTTTTTTGGCAGTTGCAGCACAATACTGTCACAAGTGGTACTTGTCCACTTATGTGGCCCAGGGATACATGCCCTGCCCTTTTGGGGATCTCCTGGAGACAGACACCATTTTTAGTGCACCCACAATTCCTTAACACAGCCTACAAAGTGTTAAGGTAGCAAAATAGTCCCACGTGACAGTGACCCAGAAGAAGCCACCATTTTGACACAGAGGCAGCCATGGCAAAATGGCAGGTGCTTCCACAAGTCCATCACATTGCCCAGGCATGAATCCCAGGCACAGTCAAAATATTGGCTGCTTCCACAACACAGTCATGCAGCCCACAATTGTGTGTCTTGCCTGCCCTCCCTCACCAACATGAGGTTCAGTAATCTTCAAAAGATATGGAGAAGGCAGAGGTTGTGATGCCTGGTGGGGTGGGAGTCAGGCCTAACAATTGCAAGGATCCAGTGGGAGTAAGAAACGTCTATGGGGACACTGTGGAGAAGGAAAGGTTGTAGGAACCCAAAAGTTGGGGTAGTGGGGGCTAGGACTTCAAGAGATTCCCACAACCCTGAGGTAGTCACTGTTCTGCTTAACAAGTTGAACATTTGTTTAATAGATTCATTAGGGAGAGAAGGAGGTAGAGGTAGTTAAAGCAAAATGATCTTGCTTTACAACCATAACAACTCACTTGCAACATGCAACCATAACTGGCAGGTTCCATTACAGTTGTATCTAGAGGACTACTTGTATGGTGGCTGGGGAATTCTGGGGCTCAAAAACTGGAGAACAATAAGGTAGAAGACAGAAACTCCACCTGTGGGAATTCCATAATCAATACACAAAAAACACCACCCAAAAGCCTTTTTGAGGAATTCCACTAGTTCTGCAAAAATAAAATATCCAGAAACTGTTGCTGATAACAAGAGACTAGTAGTTAACCTTTTTCCTTTTCTCTCCACCTACAAGTCTAATCCCAAGACATGTTTGAGTAAAAAGAAATCAGGCCAGAATTCAAGTAGTCAATTTCTCACCTACATTCCTAATGAGAGATGAGAAATCTAATCCAAGCCTTCTCTAAACTCATCAATATTTCCCTCATGTGGATTTCTTTGTGGGCAATAAAGGACAATTTATGTCTGAAGATCATCCACAGGCAGGACATTTGAATGATTTATCTCCTGTGTGAGTCGTCTGGTGTCTCATGAGGTAGAAATTTTTAATGAAACTTTTCCCACACTGTGGGCCCACATAAGGTTTCTCTCCTGCGTGAGTCCTCTGATGTTATCACCAAGTTCAAATTCTGACGGAAATGTTTGCCACAAACAGGACATTCAAAGGGTTTCTCTCCTATATGAATCCTCTGGTATTTGACCAGATAGAAATTCTAACTGAAATATTCCCACAATCAGGATACTCAAAGGGTTTGTGTCAGGGTATATAGATTTAATAGCTGTAAACTGATGTAAGGTTGTAAGCGGAGGGAGCTGAGAGCTGATACAATGGGAATGAGGCAGCAGGGTTACTGCCACTTTAAGAAGCTGGGTATGAAGCTGCCTATATAAGGGAAGCCATTAGAGGGCGTTTCCTTCTCCTCATGTTCTCTCTTGTCCTGTATCTCATTGCTCCCCTTGTGTCAGTAGCTGTATGATAAGGTATTTACCACATATATGTCTCTATATATTTAGCTGTAGATAAAACCACTGTTAATTATCTAAGGCTCTGTGTGCGGTGTTTTACTCCTGGGTTTATCTCATAATACTAGTCACCCTGCCTAAACTCTGACAGTTTGTGTCTTGTATGAGTCCTCTGACGAGTCATCAGGTCAGAATTCTGACTGAAATTATTCCCACAATCAAGACATTCATATGGTTTCTCTCTTGTGTGAGTCCTCTGGTGAATCACCAAATGGGAATTCTGACTGAAACTTTTCCCACAATCAACATATGCAAATGGTTTCTCTCCTGTGTGTTCTCTGATGTCTTACCAGGTTGGAGTTGTGACTGAAAGTTTTCCCACAATCAGGACATTCAAAGGGTTTCTCCCCTGTGTGAGTCCTGTGGTGTTCCACTAGGCTGGAGTTCTGATAGAATCGTTTCCCACAAACATGACATTCAAAGTATTTATCTTCTGTGTGAGTCCTCTGGTGTATCAGCAGGCTGCTGTACCAACTGAAACTTTTCCCACAATCTGGACATTCAAAGGGTTTTTCTCCTGTGTGAGTCCTCTGATGGTTCACCAGGTCAGAATTCTGATTGAAACTTTTCCCACAATCAGGACATTCAAAGGGTTTCTCTCCTGTGTGAGTTCTCTGATGTCTTGTCAGGTTGGAATTGTGACTGAAACTTTTCCCACAATCAGAACATTCAAAGGGTTTCTCTCCTGTGTGTGTCCTCTGGTGTTCCAACAGGTGGGAATTCTGATTGAAACATTTCCCACAAACAGGACATTCAAAGGGTTTCTCTCCTGTGTGAGTCCTCAGGTGTCTCACGAGGTGGGAATTTGCAATGAAACGTTTCCCACAATCTGGACAGTTATACGGCTTCTCCCTGCTGTGAGTCCTCGGATGCATCACCAAGTTGCGAGTTTCGCTAAAGCATTTACTACATTGGGAGCACTTGTAGGGCATCTCTCCTGTGTGGGTCCTTCCATGAACCAAAACTGACCTGTTCTGACCTGAGCTTTTGCCACATTCAGATCATTTGTATCTGCTCGTCTGCAGAGTGAATTCTCTCCTGCATAATCACTTGTGATTTGAAGACTGCTTTTCTCACAATAAGCACATCTATGGAGCTTTTCCACCACTGGTATTCTTGAGAAGGTCGAAAATATGTGTGATCCCTTATTTAGGGGTGCTTCGATTTAAGCCCTTTTCAGGGCAAGGTGTGCATAACTATCTGCCCTATGTAACTATCCAATTGACCTTTTTCTCCCCACTAACTTCCAGATATTTCCCTCTTTTTCTGAAATGAAAAATGACCTTTTTGTGTAATGTAAATTTGAGTTTTGCATACTCAACTTTTTCCAGCTCGAAATCACTTCTTGATTTTCTTTCCTTTGTTTCACCTACTGGGGAAGGAGAAGAACTCTGTGGTTTTTCTGAAGAAAATGGAGAGTATTTTTATTTCTGCCTCCATCTGCTTTGCAGTGTTGCTTGTTATTCTCAATTGTCCAATGTGGTCTTATCGGCATCCTCTTTGTCTGTAAGATTCAAATGAAAATGTAGCTTTTATTGTTTGTAAAAGGGTTGCAGAAGATGTGAAAAAGAAGTATACGTTACAATGAAAAAGCAAACATGCCACAATGCTAGAATAATATCTTACATGAATTATGACTCATTTGACTACTGGGATCCAAATTCCATTATCCATTCAATCATGAAATTCACTTCCTGACTTGGGTCAGTAACAAATTCTTAGTCCTGCAAAGGGTTATCATCAAATACAGTTATGTGAAAAAGAAAGTACATCCTTTTTGAGTTCTATGATTTTACACATCACGACATAGTAGAAATCATCTGGTCCTTAGCAGTTCTTAAAAATGGGTAAATATAACCTCAGATGAACAACATATATTACACTTGAGGACTTCCGGTTTGGCGTCCCAGCGATGCAGTCAGGGAAATGGTGGGCTTTGATGAGCCCCGCGAAAACCCTGACTGACGAGCCGCTGCCAATGGGTCTTTGGACCGAACCTGTCTTATAGGGACAGGGGAAGGAGAGGGGCGCCTCGGACGGCCAAGAGGAACAGGCAAGTTCCTTGGAGGTCGGACAGAATCCTCTTGAGTCGGTGGCGGGGGGAGGCAACCATGACGGCTGCCACGAAGCTGGGACAAATCTGGAAAAGAATTGTGCAGGAGGAAAGAAGAAAGAACGATGTGCTTTGAAGCCGGGTGAGTGACACCAACCCAGGCGAGAAACAACGTTAGACTATAGACTTTTACTAATAAGACCCCTAGCCTTAAACAGTGGCTGTAGATTTGCGGGGGTTGAAGATTTGGTAAAGTAACAATAGGGGATAACGACCCATTAAGGAATTTACTTTAGTATTGATTGTTTTGGATGAATTGGCTATTAACAAATTAGAAAACTGAGTTTTCCTTCAAATTGGAACAGACTCGATCTTTGGAAAAAGAGAAAAGGACAAATAAGGATTTAACACCTTTAAAAGTTAGATGAAGCGAGGCAAACAGATGGTTACATAATTGCTACAAAATGGAGATTGCTGTGACTAAGCGAAAAAATTGCGGAGACTCGCCTTCTGCTTGAAAAAGAACTATTTTGACTGGCTATTTACCCTGGATTACTTAGAAAATAACTATGGACTTTTGGATTTTGGAGATTCGTATTCTGCCTATGGGTGGTTTTATAAAGAAAGAAGAAATATAATGGAACTAATAAAATCGAAACTAACTGGCTCAGGGACAAAAGTGGTGCAGGAACAAAAATAGGGAAACTGATGGATTCTATATGGAACAGACTTTACAATAGAATTAAAATGATATACAGAGTTTCAAACATGGATATATTGATTTTGAAGTGGAATACCTATGGACAGATATGGAAATGAAGAAATAAAATAGATAAAATTAAAATCTAATGTTTAAATGTTTAAATGAGTTTTAAATATAAGCAGGAGGTATCTATGGAGAAATAAAGATGGAAAATAAAAGAAGGTAACTAAAATAGGAATTTGATGTTAAGGTGGTTAAAAATGATATTTTTACAAAAGCATAAGAGTATATATTAATATGAGACAAACTTAAGAAAATTTATTAGACTATGGGAGAATAAGTGGAGAATATGTCTGATGCAACTTGTAATTTTTTTTTTTATTGCAAAAGTTTTACAATTACATTTTCACCCCTTTTTTCACCCCCCCTCCCCAAACTTCCCATCCTCCCTAACCCTCCCTAACCCTCCCCCCCCAGACTTCCCTATTATGTACTCATAACTAATGACACTGATATATAAGCTTGAACCCATCCCTCCCCCTGTATAATTTTTCCTCTTTGTCTCTTTACATTAAAATATTTCTAATACATTATTTTCAAATAAAAGCTATTTGATACTTTCTAGTTTGGTATTTGTTCTGAACATATTCTATCCACCTTTTCCATTCCCATTCATAAGTCTCTTGTGAACAGTCTTTTAAATATGCTGTAATCTTCGCCATCTCTGCAAAACTAGCCATCTTCAAAGTCCATTCCTCGATAGTGGGCAAAACTTCATTCTTCCAGTATTTACCTATCAACAATCTTGCTGCTGTTATCATATACAATATCAATTTTGTTTCACCCCGTGTAAAACCCTTAACTATACCCAATAAAAACAACTGTGGAGAAAATTGAATTTTTTTCCTCAAAACATTCTGCATGACCCACCAAATTTTTATCCAAAAAGCCTTAACTTTCCTACAGGTCCACCAAACATGATAATACGTAGCATCCAAACATTCGCATCTCCAACCGAACGTCGAATTTTCGGGCGCAACTTGTAATTTTAAATTGTAAAATTTATTAGACTATGGGAGAACAAGTGGAGAATATGTTTGATATAACATGTTTTAATTTTAAACTGTAAACAAAGTTGAGAATGGTAAATATGATTAAATGTGAATGATTAATGAACTATTGGATGATAAAATATAGAAACACAGACTTAAGTAACAAATTGTGATTGAATTTAATGTATGTTGGAAATGATCAACATTAAGAAATAGGTTGGGAAACACCCTGGAAGAATATATTTGGAAATATATTGAAAAGAAAACACTTAAAATAAGATATGCTGGGTATCAACCAAACAAAAGGTGGAGATGTGGAGGAGAATATGCTGCAAATCAGCCAAAATAAATTATGCTAGAAATCAGCCAAACGATAGTTGGAGATATGGAAGAGAATATGCTGGAAATCAGCCAAAATAAAATATGCTGGAAATCAGCCAAACAATAGTTGGAGGTAGGGAGGAAAATTATGCTGGAAATCAGCCAAATAATAGTTGGAGTTATGGAGAAGAATATGCTGAAACTCAGCCAAAATAAAATATGCTAGAAATCAGCCAAATAACAGTGGGAGATATAGAAGAGAAAATACTGGAAAATAGCCAAATTAATATGGGGTGAAAAAGAATATGTTGGAAGACAATTAAAATGAAGCGAAACGATTTTGAGATTATTCTGTGTAAAATGAAATGTGTAATAGATGATAAGTTTAAGAAAATTATGTGTAAATTGACAAAGTTTAAGATCTAAAGATTGGATGAAATGGGTCCAGACATTAAGAAATACAGATAGAATTTTGATTTATAAATTGAAATAAAAATAGAGTTGTATATATTGGAAATTAAGATTAGTGGTCATAAAATAGTAAGGTAAATACTCAGATCTAGACGTTATAATATTTCTTAAATTTGTGTTTTGATACTGATGTTAAAAGAAGTAATGGAGAAAATTTAGGAAAGAATTAGAATGAATTTTGATTTATAATTGGATATAAAAATGAGTGGAGTTTATTTGGGAATTAAGATTTGTGGTGATATAATAGTTTGGCCTAAATTAAAAAGTTAGAATTTATCTTTAAAATTTTTGTTTTGATTAGTAATTTTAAAAGATGCAATGAGGAAATTTTGAATGGAGTTTGTTAAAAATGTAAATGATTGTACCTATTTATGACCAGATCAAGACTTTGTTCTTAAAAGATATATTTTATGTTTATGTTTGAAAAAAAAAATTATAAAAAAAATCATATATTACACCCATGTCATTATTTTTTTAAACAAAAAGAAAACTGCTAAGTAGAAGCCCAGTGCTGCTAATCAATTAACATCAGCACGTGTGACTGCATCTATAAAAGCTGAATTTGTAGGGCTTTCCTGGTCTCTGGCACTCTACAGGACATTCAGAAAGTATTTAGACCCACTTCATTTTGTCAATTTTGTTATGCTGCAGCCTGATTCTACAGTTATTGAAATTCATTTTTTTCTCATTAATCGACACTCAGTACCCCATAATGATTAAGTGAAAACAGAAGTTTATAAAAGTCTGTAAATTTATTAAAAGGAAAAATCTGAAACATCACTTTGGCATAACTATTCAGACCCTTCACTCAGTATTTTGTTGAAACATCTTTGGCAGCAATTACAGCCTCAAGTCTTTTTGGATATGAATGTTCCAACACTGGAAGTTTTTAAGAACATATTGGACAACCATTTGTCTGAAATGGTATAGGTTTCCTAACTGAGCAGAGGGTTGGCTGGACTAGAAGATTTCCAAGGTCCCATTCAACTCTGTTATTCTGTTATCTGGGGAAGAGTTATAAGACTGTTTCCCAACAATTTAAACTCCATTATTCTACATTCCACATTCACAAGTGGAAAACATTGAAGGCAATTGTCAATCTTCCCAGGAGTGGAAGTCCCAGCAAATCAACCCAAGTTCAGATAGTGCAATGCTCTGAGAAATTACAAAAAATCCAAGCATTACATCTCAGGCTCTACAGGCCTCATTTAGCATGTTAAATGTTAAAGTTCATGACAGTACAATTAGAAAAAGACTGAACGAGTATGGTTTGTTTGGAAGGATTGACAGGAAAAAGCCTCTTCTCTGTAAAATGGATATGGCAGAAGCACTTAGATTTGCAAAGTTGCATTTGAACAAATTACAAGACTTCTGGAACACTGTCCCTTGGACAGATGAGACCCAAGTGGAGATATTGGCCATAAAGCACAGTGCCATTTTGATGAAAAACAAACATATTAACACAAACATCTCATACCAATCATCAAACACAGTGACGAAGGGGTGATTATTTGGGTTTGTTTTGCAGCCACAGGACCTGGCCGCTTTGCAGTCACTGAGTTGTCTATGAATTCCTCTCTATCCTAAAGCATTCAGAATCAGAATAGACCTGGAAAGGACCTTGGAGGTCTTCTAGTCCAGCCCTCTGCTCAAGCAGCAGATGCTATACCATTTCAGACAAGTGACTGTCCAGTGTCTTCTTCAACATTTCTAGTGATGAAGCGCCCACAATGTCTGAAGGCAAGCTGTCCTACAGGTTAATTGTTCTTACTGTTAAGAAGTTTCTCTTTAATTCCAGGTTGCTTCTCTCCTTGATTAGTTTCCATCGGGTCTTGCCCTGCCTTCAGATGGTTTGGAAAATAAGTTGACCCCCCTCAAATACTGGAGTACTGCTATCATGTCCCCTCTAGTCCTTTTCTTTAAAGCGGCTAAATCCAAATCCTACAATTTTTCTTCATGTTTTAGTCTCCAGGCCTTTAATCTACTTAGTTGCTCTTCTTTGTACTTTTTCCAAATCTCAACATCTTTTTTGTAATTTGATGACCAAAAAAGTATTCCAGTTATGTTCCCACTAAGGCTTTATAAAGCAGTGCTAATACTTCATGTGATTTTGATTCTAGAATCAAAAGGAGTCAAATGTGAGACCATCTATCCAATAGCGGTTTCTCACAAACGGCTTCTCTGTTTTGGCTTTCTTTTTGTAAAATACATGATGACATGATGTAATATGTTCATGTGTTGTTGTTCATGTGAAGTTATATTTACCTACTTTTAAGAGTAATAAGGACCAGATGATTTTTACTGATATTGTTAGGATATAAGCCTAACAGGTTGTCCAGGCAATATATGGACAATATATGTGTTCTATGACTTTAACATGAATATGTATTCTATGTCTTTAAGAATGTACTGCTAAGTCATTGTAATGCTGAGTCATTGTATCCTAATTGAATAAGTACTATTGTAAACAGTATTTAAGAAGGGAGCTGAAATGTAGTCATTATGGATATGCTACCATCGTGTATTGATGATGTGCTATCATCGTGTATGGATATGCTACCATTGTGGGTGGATATGCTACCATCGTGACCTGTTACCAGCGTGAACGTGCTGCTATTATTACCTACTGCTGTTTGTATGGTAAAAAGACTTTTGTATCACTGGACTGATTTGAATGGCTAAGACTTGGATTGACTAAAGATTATGCAATTGTTTTTCACTACAAAGTAAAAACTTTGATAAACCAGTTTGTATGTATTTTCTTCATTGCTCTCAGCACCGTTTCCCTGTGCTCTACGCTTTGCTGGTTGGTTAACACGACAATATCCTTAACAGATATGCAAAACCATAGAACTCAAAACAGGGCGTACTTTCTCTTTCACATGGCTGCGTATTTCGACGAAATGGGAATAGATTATACACTTGGAGATATATGTATACAGAGAGAAATACAAATACAAATGCATCTATATGGAGAAAATCCATGTCTTTCAAGTCTGAAAAGGGTCCCAAAATGGTTCAAGTCAAACCTTCTAAGGTAATTTATAGATGTGGAGCTTTAACTGATGAAATGATACCTCAGCAGGGTTTGAAGCACCAGTTTCGCTCATGGAAGTCCTCAGCTCCAAATAAGGGCAGAAAATACTGTCCAGAACCCCTCTAATGACATCCCCATTCAAGCAGTTCCCCCTTATTCAGCACAATTGGGACTGGCATCATTGTCACTGCTCATACAATGCTATAGTAACTTTGAAAGCGAACAAGTGATAAGTGAGGACTACTTAGTCAACTGAGCATCCCAAAAGGTCCTTGATAGTTGTTTTTTTTAACACAGTGCTAAGTTAAGCACAGTTGAACCTGGTTAATACATAGATGGGCACAAATAGGAAATACTGTGCTTGTTGGCTAGACATAGAAATAATAATTTAAAAATATCTCAGAAAAGAGCAGATGAAGATCACTCCGATATTGTTGCCAAGAAAACAGCAGGTCCATAACAGAATAACAGAGTTGGAAGGGACCTTGGAGGTCGTCTAGTCCAATCCCTGCTCAGGCAAGTGACTTTATATCGTTCCTGATTAATTGCTGTCCCGTCTCCTCTTTAAATCCTTCAGTGATGAAGAACTCACAACTTTTGGAGGCAAGCTGTTAATTTTAACTTGAAGGAGACTTTTTAAAATCTTCCCACCAGCAGAAAATTGCGGCCACCAGTGTTAAATCATGCAGCACCAGAGGACTCAAACTTCGGGGAGGGAAGGAACATGATTTTATTCTACTTTTAAATTTTGTATGTATGTGTTTTATTGTTTGGCTGTGCACCGCCCTGAGTCCTTCGGAAGTAGGGCGGCATAGAAATCAAATCAAATCAAAATCAAATCAAAATCAATGAGCAGCAGCTGATATGCTTCAGCCTAGTTGCTTCTCTGCTTCCACATCTGGGAAGAAAGCAAACAGTCCTACTTGCTCCCAGCTTCTCCTACGATCTGCCCTCCACTCACCTGCCAGATGTGTTTCGACCCTGGGAAGAGCAGAAAAACCACTCTGCACTCCACCTTCCTCCCATGAGTGATCCGGAAGAAGTTACTCTCCTCCCATCCTTTCTACCAATGCTGTACTCGATGGTTTTAACTCCTTTAAGCTCAACCACATATGCCTATTAAGGGCTTTCTAGTCACTGATATGTGAGTGCCATCTCCCGATAGGAGGCAGAAGAACACGCTTGTTCTGTCTCTAACGTGTTTGTAGGAGGTTTTCACTGATTAAATGCTATCAAGTCGTTTTCTATTCCTAGCAACCCGCCTTTGCAACTGAGCCATGTGAAATGTGACACTAAATACCTTGTGAAGGTTAGGAATGTGCTGAGTCCTAAATGTTTATGAAGCTCTTACAGAATTACATAAGAAGAGTTGGAATAGACCAACTCTCCAAGCAGGAGATCCTATGGTACCGGTCCAGACAAATGGCTGTCCAAACTCCTCTTTAAAAACCACATTGATGGAGCACCCACAACTTCTAGACGCAAAGAGTTTCCAATGATTCTCACTGAAAGGAAATTTCTCCTTGATTCTAGGTTGGAGCCCTTTCTGATATGTCTCCCTCTGCTCCTCTCAGGAGCTTTGAATAATAGGCTCCCCCCACTTTTCTTTGTCAGCCCACCTCAATTGTGGTTGTATGTCATGGATTACCTGGCACCTTGAGCAAAACCCTTGGAGGGTACTACTTTGTAAAAAGCTGATCTAGAGATTACTGATCTTTTTTTTTTAGCGTGATTCTCAGTGGAGAACAAAACTGCTCTACATCCTGTTAGAATAAAACTCCAGGTCCAGATCCAAGCTGGGAATAAAATGGAGGCTGTTTAAGAAAGGGGGTAGATTTATTGATGAGCAGAACCAGCCTGTGGTTCCAGTGCAGCTGACCCAACTGGTTGAATGAGTGGATGGATCTTTATATGTTTCTGTGATGCTGCTGGGATTTTGCAATGTAGTTATTTGTTTTGCTGTTTTGCTATTCTAATGGTGGTGGGTTAATCCTATTATGTCCTAAAAGGTCATGTTCTGGCCTTAGATGTCCCAAAGGTCCTTTTTCAGAAGGCAACTGGGCTTTCTTTTTTGTTTTCTTTTGAAGAGGTTTCCCTTCTCATCCAAGAAGCTTCTTCAGCTCTGACAGGATAATGGGAAATGGGTCCTGTCAGAGTTGAAGAAGCTTCTTGGATGAGAAGTAAAACATCTTCAAAAGAAACAATTTTGCCTCCTGGAAAAGCACCTTTGGGACAACCATGGCCTGCATGACTGAGAATCTCTACAAACTCCTGTTTTTAGAATTTGGGTGGTGGAGAATGTAAATGTTAATGCCATCGCTGGAGATGAAAGTCTGTTAACTTGTGAATTGGCTGGCCCACTCTTTCTTATTGTACACAAAACATCTGCTGGGGTCTATTAAGAAAGACTGCTTTCTTTGTTTAAAGGCATGTTTCTCCATTTGTCGTTTAGGGAAATATAATATTTTGCCTCTTAATATTCCCCAAAATATTTCATTCTTCCACGTCTAGGGTCTTTCCCACAATCTCAAAACTTTGACTGATTTCCTGTAGTGCCCAAGGATTTAGGACATGGCAGCACTATGAGGCCAGACACTCCAAGGGAGCCAGCTTCATTCCTGCTGGCCAGGGCTGCATCCAAGAGCACCCACAAACTACAAGCTACAAACTCACTGGCACAACCAATGGCTGCTTTAGGGGTTGTAAAGTTACAAAGGAAACCTTAGTTGTCCAGTTTGAAATGTCCTAATTTTGACCTTTCAGACTGGCAATGCTGGAGAACACCATCGCTGAATCTGAGAAGGCCAATCAAAACAGATCCAGTTTAGCCATACTAATTTTTTAACTCTGCATAAAGAAATGTCATTCTTTCACAGAATTTAGGACTGAGGTAAATAGCAATGCAACAAATTAAGAGGCAGAAGCCTAATTACAGCTCACATCAGAAGAGACAGATTTCAGATAGATAAACAATTGTAGAGTGTTAGAAACCCACTATATGTGTGGAGAACTCTCCATTGAAGAAGAATTGAGAAAAGGGCTTTCTGTTACAATTTTATTAGTTTTATTATTATTCACTGCGCATCTGGCAGTTTGAGGCCATTCCGAGTGCCTTGCCTTGCCCTAACATTCATAGCAACGTTGAGGCCACACGATTTTTTCCTTGCCAAAAGATATTGATACTTCTTACATTACACAATGCATTATTACAAATGAAAGATTTTCCACTGTTCAACTTGTTCCTCATATCGCCACCACCAAAGGGGATACAATAGAAATGTCAGAGTGCTGCTATTACCCAGCAGCCATCAAAGGGAAACAAGCAGACACCTCCAAGAAAATGAGATCACAGCAGGAGTTGCTAATAAAACTTTTAGATCCTGTCATGAAAGCCACAATCCCTTTTCTCCTCAACTCAATATTCCTCCTGGAGGCAACCATCATTTTCAGTGCGCCCACAATCCCTTAATGCAGTTTGCACAGTGTTAAGGAAGCGAAACAGAGCAGTTTCTCCCTCTCCCACGCAACAATGACTCAGAAGCAGCTGCCATTTTGGCCCTGAGGGAAGTGTGACAAAATGGCAGCTGCTTCCATAAGTCCATCACATGGCCCAGGGTTGAATCCCGGGCACACTGAAAATAACGGCTGCTTCCAGGACATAGCCATCCGGCCCTGGGATGCGTGCCCTGGCCTTCCTCACCAACTTGATGGTCAGAGATCTTCATAGGGTATGGAGGAAGCTGTGAGGCCTGGTGGTGGGAGTCAGGCCTAAGGACTGCAGGGACAGAGCAAGAGAGGAAAAAAGCCTTTGGGGACCCTGTGGGTGGGGAAAAGGCCTGAGGGGACTCTGTGGGGAAGGAAACACCTGTGGGGAAGGAAACACCTGTGGGGACCCTATGGGAAACACCTGTGGGGGTCCTGGGGAGGGAAATGCCTATAGAGACCCTGTGGGAGAGGGCAAAGCTTGGAAGGATCCTGTGGAGAGGGAAATGCTTGATAAAAAAAACCCAGATAGTACATTTTTTTTCAAATTAATATTTTCCATTTTTTCTCTCCAATTACAGTCTACTTCAGAGATATATTTCAGTAAAATGAATCAGGCCAGAACTTAGTCAACTTCTCACCTACACTTCCAATGACAGAAAAAAAATGAAATTTAAGCCTTCTCTAAACTCATCAACTTTTGCCTAATGTGGATGTCCTTGACTTTTTCTCCTGTGTGTAAACCTACATTACTTATAGGTCATTTGTATGGTTAAATTGGTGACTTTTCGCACAATTCAGATATTCAAAGGGTTTTTTTCCCACACTCTGGACACTCGTATGGCTTCACTTCTGTATAAGTCCTCTAGTCTATCAACAGCAGGTTCTGACAGGTTCTGGAGAACCAGAAGCAGAAATTTTGAGTAGTTCGGAGAACCAGCAAATCCCAACTCTGGCTGGTCCCAGAATGGAAATTTTGCAATATCCTTGCAGTAACCTTCCCCTTTGATGCCCACCAAGCCATGCCCACCAAGCCACACCCACAGAACCGGTAGTAAAAAAAATTGAATTTCACCACCTTTTTCCACAATCTACAGTAGACATTCATATCGTTTCCCTTGTGTGAGTCCTCTGGTGTTTCCCCAGTTTAGAATTCTCACTGAATTTTTTCCCACAAACAGGACATTCAAAGGGTTTCTCTCCTGTGTGAGTCCTTTGGTGTATCACCAGGCTGGAATTCCGACTGAAACTTTTCCCACAATCAGGACAGTCAAAAGGTTTCTCCCCTGTGTGAGTCCTGTGGTGTTCCACCAGGCTGGAATTCTGACTGAAACGTTTCCCACAAACAGGACATTCAAAGGGTTTCTCTCCTGTGTGAGTCCTGTGGTGTTTCACCAGGCTGGAGTTCCGACTGAAACTTTTCCCACAATCAGGACATTCAAAGGGTTTCTCCCCTGTGTGAGTCCTGTGGTGTTCCACCAGGCTGGAGTTCTGACTGAAACATTTCCCACAAACAGGACATTCAAAGGGTTTCTCTCCTGTGTGAGTCCTGTGGTGTTCCACCAGGCTAGAATTCTGATTGAAACGTTTCCCACAATCAGGACATTCAAAGGGTTTCTCTCCTGTGTGAATCCTGTGATGTTCCACCAGGCTGGAATTCTGACTGAAACGTTTCTCCCCTGTATGAGTCCTTTGGTGTTCTACCAGCTCAGAATTCCAAATGAAACGCTTGCCACAATCAGAACATTCAAAGGGTTTCTCTCCTGTGTGAGTCCTCTGGTGTTTCACCAGGCTGGAATTCTGACGGAATCGTTTCCCACAAATAGGGCATTCAAAGGGTTTTTCTCCTGTGTGAGTCCTCTGGTGTTGAACCAAATTGGAATTCCAACTGAAACGTTTGCCACAATCAGAACATTCAAAGGGTTTCTCTCCTGTGTGAGTCCTCTGATGAATCACCAGGCTTGAATTCTGACTGAAACCTTTCCCACAATCAGGACATTCAAAGGGTTTCTCCCCTGTGTGAGTCCTCTGGTGTTTCACCAGGCTGGAATTCTGACTGAAACGTTTCCCACAATCTGGACATTCACAGCGTTTCTCTCCTGTGTGAATCCTCTGGTGCTCCAACAGGTGGGAATTTGCAATGAAACTTTTCCCACAAACGGGACATTCAAAGGGTTTCTCTCCTGTGTGAGTCCTCTGGTGTATCACCAGGCTGGAATTCCGAGTGAAACGTTTCCCACAATCAGGACATTCAAAGGGTTTCTCTCCTGTGTGAGTCCTCTGGTGTTTAACCAAATGGGAATTCGAACTGAAACATTTGCCACAATCAGAACATCCAAAGGGTTTCTCTCCTGTATGAGTCCTCTGGTGTTGAACCAAATTGGAATTCAAACTGAAATGTTTGCCACAATCAGAACATTCAAAGGGTTTCTCTCCTGTGTGTGTCCTCTGGTGTTCCAACAGGTGGGAATTCTGATTGAAACATTTCCCACAAACAAGACATTCAAAGGGTTTCTCTCCTGTGTGAGTCCTCAGGTGTCTCACGAGGTGGGAATTTCCAATGAAACGTTTCCCACAATCTGGACAGTTATACGGCTTCTCCCTGCTGTGAGTCCTCAGATGCATCACCAAGTTGCCAGTTTCGCTAAAGCATTTACTACATTGGGAGCACTTGTAGGTCATCTCTCCTGTGTGGGTCCTTCCATGAACCAAAACTGACCTGAGCTTTTGCCACATTCAGATCATTTGTATCTGCTCGTCTCCAGAGTGGATTGTCTCCTGCATAATCACTTGTGATTTGAAGACTGCTTTTCTCACAATAAGCACATCTATGGAGCTTTCCTACCACTGGTATTCTTGAGAAGGTCGAAAATATGTGTGATCCCTTATTTAGGGGTGCTTCGATTTAAGCCCTTTTCTTTCTTCCAGGGCAAGGCGTGCATTACTATCTGCCCTATGTAACTATCCAATTGACCTTTTTCTCCCCACTAACTTCCAGATATTTCCCTCTTTTTCTGAAATGAAAAATGACCTTTTTGTGTAACGTATATTTGAGTTTCGCATACTCTACTTTTTCCAGCTCTAAATCACTTCTTGATTTTCTTTCCTTTGTTTCACCTACTGGGGAAAGAGAAGAACTGTGTGGTTTTTCTGAAGAAAATGGGGAATATTTTTATTTCTGCCTCAATCTGCTTTGTAGTGTTGCTTGTTATTCTCAATTGTCCAATGTGGTCTTATCGGCATCCTCTTTGTCTGTAAGATTCAAATGAAAATGTAGCTTTTATTGTTTGTGAAAGGGTTGCAGAAGATGTGAAAAAGAAGTATATGTTACAATGAAAAAGCAAACATGCCACAATGCTAGAATAATATCTTACATGAATTATGACTCATTTGACTACCGGGATCCAAGTTCCATTATCCATTCAATCATGAAATTCACTTGTTGACTTGAGTCAGTAACAAATTCTTAGCCCTGCAAAGGGTCATCATCAAATACAGTTATGTGAAAAAGAAAGTACACCCTCTTTGTCTGTTGTTGTTTTTTTTGTTTTTTGTTTTTTACAGAATTTATATTCTGTAAAACTCAGGGTGGTGAACACAGGTTAAAAACATACAATAATGACAACCCACTAAAACCAGATTAAAATAATAAATAACAAAAACCCAATGATCAGAATCAGCTCATTCGTTGGAATAACCAAGTCTTCAGGCCTCGACGGAAGGAGCAGAGATCCGGGGCTGTCCGGAACTCGGTGGGTAGTTCGTTCCAGAGTGTAGGGGCACTCATGGAGAAAGCTACTCCTGGGTGTCGCCAGATGGCATTGCCTGGTCGACGGTACCCTGAGGAGAGCAACCCTATGGGAACGGACAGGACGGTAGGAAGCAGGCAGGAGATGGTCGTGCAAATATCCTGGACCTAAGCCATGTAGGGCTTTATAGGTCAATACCAGCACCTTGAAGCGGATGCGGAGGACCAGCGGTAGCCAGTGCAGCTCGCGCAGGAGAGGTATTACACGGGAATAATGAGGGGCTCCCGTAACAACCCGCGCGGCCACATTCTGGACCAGCTGGAACTTCCGGGTGCACCTCAAGGGCAGCCCCATGTAGAGAGAGTTGCAGTAATCCAAGCGGGAGGTAACCAGGGCATGAGTGACCGTGCAAAGGGCATCACGGTCTAGAAAAGGGCGCAACTGGCGTACCGGGCGCACCTGTGCAAAAGCCCCCCTGTCACGGCTGTCAAATGGTCTTCTAGGGACAGCTGGGAATCCAGAAGGACACCCAAGTTGCGGGCCCTTTCAACAGAGGGTGAGTACCTCCCCCCGCCATCAAAAGTGACGGGACCTCTAGAACACGGGATGCCGGCATCCACAGCCACTCAGTCTTGGAAGGGTTGAGTCTGAGTCTGTTCCTGCCCATCCAGGCCCGCACCGCCTCCAGGCATCGGGACATCACAGAAAGGGCATCTCCGGGGTGGCCCAGGGTGGAGATACTTAATTAAGTATACATAATTAAGATACATAATTAAGCATATTGATGATACCTCACCCCAAAACCACAAATGATCTCACCCAGCGGCTTCATATAGATGTTAAAGAGTAGGGGGGAGAGAACCGACCCCTGAGGCACCCCACAAGTTAGGGGCCTCGGGGTGGACCTCTGTCCCCCCCGTCCATACAAACTGCGAGCGACCTGAGAGGTAGGAGGAGAACCACTGTAAAACAGTGCCTCCTACCCCCAACCCCCCAAGTCGCTGCAGTAGGATACCATGGTCGATGGTATCAAAGGCCACTGAGAGCTCAAGTATGACCAGGATGGAAGAACAACCTCCATCCCAGGCCTGCCAGAGATCATTCACCAGGGCAACCAATGCCGTTTCCGTGCTGTGCCCACACCGGAAACCCGATTGGTACGGTTCTAGATACTCCATTTCCTCCAGGAACTGTGGGAGCTGTTGTGCCACCACGGTCTCAACAATCTTCGCAATAAAGCGAAGGTTGGAGATAGGCCAATAGTTGTTAAGTGAGTCTGGATCCAGGGCAGGCTTCTTGAGGAGGGGTCGAACCACCGCCTCCTTAAGCGAGGTGGGGAATACCCCCTCCCTCAAAGAAGAGTTGATAATTGCTTGGATCGAGTCTCCAGTCACCTCCCGGGCAGCCCAAACAAGCTATGATTTTACACATCACGACATAGTAGAAATCATCTGGTCCTTAGCAGTTCTTAAAAATGGGTAAATATAACCTCAGATGAACAACATATATTACACCCATGTCATCAGTTTTTTTAAACAAAAACAAAGCTGCTAAGTAGAAGCCCAGTGCTGCTAATCAAATGTTCTTGATCAATTAACATCAGCACGTGTGACTGCATCTGTAAAAGCTGAACTTGTAGGACTTTCCTGGTCTCTGGCACTCTACAGGACATTAAGAAAGTATTTAGATCCACTTTATTTTGTCAATTTTGTTATGCTGCAGCCTGATTCTACAGTTATTGAAATTCATTTTTTTCTCATTAATCGACACTCAGTACCCCATAATGACTAAGTGAAAACAGAAGTTTATAAAAGTCTGTAAACTTATTAAAAGGAAAAATCTGAAACATCACTTTGGCATAACTATTCAGACCCTTCACTCAGTATTTTGTTGAAACATCTTTGGCAGCAATTACAGCCTCAAGTCTTTTTGGATATGAATGCTCCAACACTGGAAGTTTTTAAGAAGATATTGGACAACCATTTATCTGAAATGGTATAGGTTTCCTAACCAACTGGTCCAGAATGCGGCCGCGCAGGTGGTTATGGGTGCAACTCGTTGTGTCCACGTGACACCCCTCCTGCGCGAGCTGCACTGGCTCCCAGTGGTCTTCCGCATGCAATTCAAGGTGTTGGTTACCACCTTTGAAGCGCTCCATGGCATTGGACCTGGATACCTTCGAGACCGTCTTCTGCCACCAGTTGCCTCCCACTGGCCAGTTCGCTCCCACAGAAAGGGTCCCCTCAGGGTGCCATCAGCCAAATTATGTCGGCTGACGACACCCAGGGGGAGGGCCTTCTCTGGGGAAGCCCCTGCCCTTTGGAATGAACTGCCCCCAGAAATTCGTAAAATCTCTGATCTCCGTATATTTCGCTGTGCCCTCAAAACCATGTTGTTCCGCCAGGCTGGGCTATCAATGTAAAGATTTTAATTGGTTTTAAATGGGATTTTAAATTTCGGGTTTTATAAATTGGGCCTATTATTTAATAATTTTAATTATTTTTAAATTTTGTCTGTCTTTGTGTTTTTAATTAGGCTGTACACCGCCCTGAGTCCTTCGGGAGAAGGGCGGTATAGAAATAAAATAAAATTAAATAAACAAACAAACAAACAAACAAACAAACAAACTGAGCAGAGGGTGGGCTGGACTAGAAGATTTCCAAGGTCCCATTCAACTCTGTTATTCTGTTATCTGGGGAGAGTTATAAGACTGTTTCCCAACAATTTAAACTCCATCATTCTACATTCCACATTCACAAGTGGAAAACATTGAAGGCAATTGTCAATCTTCCCAGGAGTGGAAGTCCCAGCAAATCAACCCAAGTTCAGATAGTGCAATGCTCTGAGAAATTACAAAAAATCCAAGCATTACATCTCAGGCTCTACAGGCCTCATTTAGCATGTTAAATGTTAAAGTTCATGACAGTACAAATAGAAAAAGACTGAATGAGTATGGTTTGTTTGGAAGGATTGACAGGAGAAAGCCTCTTCTCTGTAAAATGGATATGGCAGAAGCACTTAGATTTGCAAAGTTGCATTTGAACAAATTACAAGACTTCTGGAACACTGTCCCTTGGACAGATGAGACCCAAGTGGAGATATTGGCCATAAAGCACAGTGCCATTTTGATGAAAACCAAACATATCAACACAAACATCTCATACCAATCATCAAACACAGTGATGAAGGGGTGACTATTTGGGTTTGTTTTGCAACCACAGGACCTGGCCGCTTTGCAGTCACTGAGTTGTCTATGAATTCCTCTCTATCCTAAAGCATTCAGAATCAGAACAGACCTGGAAAGGACCTTGGAGGTCTTCTAGTCCAGCCCTCTGCTCAAGCAGCAGATCCTATACCATTTCAGACAAGTGACTGTCCAGTGTCTTCTTCAACATTTCTAGTGATGAAGCACCCACAATGTCTGAAGGCAAGCTGTCCTACAGGTTAATTATTCTTACAGTTAAGAAGATTCTCCTTAATTCCAGGTTGCTTCTCTCCTTGATTAGTTTCCATCGGGTCTTGCCCTGCCTTCAGATGGTTTGGAAAATAAGTTGACCCCCCTCAAATACTGAAGTACTTTATTTTATTTTTTATTTATTAAATTTGTATGCCGCCCTATCTCCAAGGACTCAGGGCGGCTCACAACAACAATCGACCAAGCAACTGTTAAAATCAACAAATATGCACAAAAATATGAAAAGTTTAAAAAAATTTAAAATACACTACCCCATCAGTCCAGCCTGGAGGACATAAATAGCCAGGTTTTCAATTCACTGCGGAAGGTGCGAAGGTCAAGAGCCAACCGGAGCCCCAAGGGAAGTTGATTCCAAAGAATGGGTGCGCTCAGAGAAAGC